TTGTGCCACTGGAGCTCAAGTGCTGTTTCCAGCGGATTAGAATGAGTCTCATCGCTTCAGCCCTTTTCCTTAGAAAATAATACACAGTCAGTCAGGTAACCTAGATTTCTTCTCCAAAAACTGGAACAGAAAAAGAAACTGCGAAATTTTGACTTAAGTACTCCATGTTTTCTCAGGGTTTCGGTTTTGTTCTCAAAAGAACTCACCTTGTTTTATTTTCATGGAATATTTTCAGCTTTTGGGAACAAGATAAAATTTTATTTCCTGATTTTTTACTTCTATCTTTTCTTTCTTAGCCTTCCTTCACATTTTCCATCTCCCCACTCTACTAGAAAATGTAAGGAAAGGTTAAATGTGTTTGATAGTAAAAACATCCACACTTCCAATATTTTTTTCTAAGATGGAAGACATAAACTGTGAAAAGTAGGATTTCTCACACTTTCCTTAATCTTACCTATTTCCTTCTTCTCTCAGCTCTGGACTGCAGTGTATTGTGGAGAAATTAATAAAATATATGTGCATGACACGTTCTCCTAAAGTCTTGCCAAGTTGTTTAGAAAAAATCTTCTGTAAATTAAAAACTTTAAAAACAGCACTCTTGTGAAGCTGCTGTTCAGAATGTTTCCTCAGTATGTGAGAGCACTAAGATAGTATAAGTATTTCAGAAGCTATCCAGAAGGAGAAAATAAAACAGATTTATTCCTTCCTGAGCATGGAAGAAACAAAGGCACAGAAATGTGACAAACAGAGCAACCACTTTTTTTTTATTATTTTGGCCATTGTAACTAATCTGAGGAAGTAGACTCCATTAACTAGTATCTATGTTGAAATGAAACAGAATTAGCAAGAACAAAACAAAAATCCAAATGATTTCTGAAATGCAGGCTGATTAGTTTTAGATCAAAGATTGTAGATTGTAGCTATCTGTTAGAACAGTAGACGGGATATAACTTTGAAAGGTCTGTGTCTTCCACTTCCAACCCCCAGTTGATCATTTGATAATATGGGGGGTTTCAACCGAAAACTCATAAATATTATGCAGTCAAAAAGGGTGAATTTAAAACTCCTGTACATGGGGGTGGAGGGAGGGTGGGGTGGGGGAAATGCAGCCTTGTAGTTCACTGCAGCACAGCTGATACAGAAGCCAGTCCAAGCTTCCAGGACCTGCAGAAGTGTAAGGACAGCCATCTCTCCAAAATACAGGAGTCATTAAGAGATAAGTTACTATCAAAAGCCTCTGGCAGAGAACTTCCCTTCTGCCCCACACACCACAGCAAGCTCCGCATTGAGTCCAACGCAGACTGAAGCAGGGAGCTGTTACAGATGAGGCATTCATGGCTGAATTTGAGGAATTACTTGCCACAGGAAATCAGAATCACTCCTGGGCTAATATGGGTCATGTTGTACAGCACTATACATTTCCATTATGGATGTAAGAGTTTAAAATATTTTGCAGTCAGCTACATGATGAAAAAATGGAAAAGCCACTCAAGTATGCTACAAACAGTGGAATAATTTTCATGGGAAGTGAAAAGAGAGTGCAATAGTGATGTTACAAAGAAAAACAAGCACTTAGAAGAAACATACCCTGTACTTTTATTAAATGAAGAAGCAAATAGGTTGGTCTGAATTATTTGGTGCTTGGTCTATGTAGGTGACAGTGGGCTTAACACAGTGTTGCTCCTATTAGGAATGGTGTTACAGATGTGCCCAGGAACCCTGAGAATGATCCCATGGCCTGTTTTGGAGAGTGCTGTACAAACATTCAATGGAGTCCCTGCCTGGAGGAGATTGTAATTAAAGCATGATTCAAGCACTGGGTGTAACAAACAAATGGAGAATGGGGCACAGTAATGATAGGAAAGTGTAGGTGGTTATGATGCAGAGCTAGCTGGAGTAAACACAGCAAGGAGAATATTTTACACTGATTAAGAGGAGTTACTGACTCATACAAAACAGCAGTTGGTCCATATAGGACAGTGCTGCATCTAATTTCTGTGGTACTTCATAGTAACATTGATAAACAGTCTTCCCTAGCACATATGTGGGCATGGGCAGAGCCTTTCTCTTCCTCTCTCAGGTATGTGCCAAAAAAATCTTCTTCTGTCATGAAAGACACCTTATGAGTGTGAGTGCTTGTGAAGTTGCAAGCCCTCCTTTTGTCCCTTAGCACCATCCTAAAATTCTGATAAATCCACCAGTGTTTATGGCCATTTCAAGGAGCACAGGAGGATGCTCAAACGTTGGTTATTTGTCTGGAGTCCTGACTACACACCCATTTGATGCTTTTTCTGCAGAGCTCTCTTGGCACTTCACTCGGACATACTCTTGTCATGCACCCTCACGGACATCTCTAATGTAAGAAGAGCCCCAAAGCCCAGATTCACCTTTGCATCTGTGCTAATGAACAGTTCAGGTTTCTGAGTGGATGTGGAAACAGGATCTGCATTAGCTCTAATCCATGGGTAATATGCAGCTTTCTCTCCACCATGCTTTGCTATGCCAGCAGTGTGGAGGGAACCATCCAGTCTGCAGAACCTTGGTGAAGGTGAGCTGTACCAGCCTCAGTGCAGGTATCCCTGCAGTGCAGGTGTTACTTGCAGAACAACCAGCAGAAAAACTGGCAAAAATGGAGGTTACATCTCCTCTAAAAGGCAGAGGTGTCTGTACCCATCCACATGAGACTGCCTGCATCTTTATCCTGTACAAACCTGTCTGGATACTGGACTTCTGCATTAGGCTCTGAAAAAACTACTGTGGTGCTGCTGTCAGTATCTATTTCAGAGATGCTCAACTGTCTTCACACATAGTTCCAACTCCTCTTCCAACCAAGTGCAGACATAACCAGTTTCACTGTCTGTCTAAGGACAACCTCTGCCAGCACCTCTGGAAAAAACATGGAAACCCTTGGTTGCACCTGGTAAAGGTGGTTGTGAGTGAAGCACAAGGCTTCAAAGCACAGTCACCCATGTGCTACTGTCGCTTGCAGATGGTCAACTTCGGACACCCTGCAGCCTCTTGGAAGCTGAAATGAGCATTAGCAGGCAGCAACTCCATTGTGATGCTGTTTGGGGCTAAAAGCAGTGGACTTTGGACCTTTGGATTAAAAGGCCAGTGTGAAGGCATCTGTCCAGATTTGTGAAGAAATCTTTTGCTGTATTACTCAGAACTTTGGCACCACATTTCTCCCTCAGTCCAAGAGTTTATGTTTGTTAACCTTCATGCTGTCACATGCATCTTTAGTCTCTGAGAAAACTGCAGGAATTCTTGCTCTCCTTGTGTATTTTGCAAATAATCTCAACATTCACAGAATTTCATTCCACAGTGTGTAAAAGGTTGTGCAGGACTGGCTGTTTTAACCACAGATTTTCAAAAGCGTTGGCAAATTCAATCTAAGATGGCTGCTAAATAAAATTAAATTACTTTGTGTATGTGTTCCTGCTAGGATAGAGTTAATTTTCTTCACAGCAGCCTGTATAGTGCTGTGCTGTCCTGTGTTTTTTTGACTACACTAGGACTGATAACACATTGTTTTAGCTGGTACTGGCAGTGTTTGCTCAGCACCAAGGCCTTTTCTTTTCCCCACCCTGCCCCACTTCTCAGGAGTCCGGGGCTGCACAAGAGGCTGGGAGAGGACACAGCTGAGCCGGGGGATGTAATATCCCAGGCCGTGTGACACTGTGCTCAGCAGGAAATGCAGGGGGAAAGGAGAAGGATGAAGGGGGAATATTCAGAGTTTTGGTCTTTGTCTTCCCAAGGAACTGTCAGGTGTGTCGAGGCCCTGGTTGCCTGGGAGCAGCTGAACACTTGCCTGTTGATGAGAAGTGGCAAATTAATTCCTTATTTTGCCTTACTTGAATGCATAGCTTTGATTTGCCTATCAGACTGCCTTTATATAAACCTGCAAGTTTCCTCTCTTTTGCTCTTCCAATCCTCTCCCCCAGCCTGCCAGGGGAAAGCCATCAAGTGACTGGCTGCCAGCTGGGGCCAACCTACTTCAGTCCTTTTTGGTGTCCAGTGTGAGACGAGGATTTTGAGATAACACCCCTGATCAGAGTGTGCTAAGTAGAATTTATACCTCTTATTGGCAGGAGTTCATACTTTTTGCTTTATTGTATATATGAGTCTGGCACATTACTGACTGGTTTGGACTTTTGCATTATTGTAGCATTATCATCTTACTCTGCTGTGCAAGGAACCATTTTGTTATCAGCAATGGCCACATATCTGAGGGCCCAGACATCCCTGCTCTACCAGGCAGGAACACCACTGGAATGGGGCTAATTCCCATCACAGTTGCCCAGAGGGTATTGTGGCTCAGATTTGTGACTAGGGCAGTGTTCATAACACCAGGGTGTTTTAGGTGTCAAGGCCTTAGCTTTTTACCTCTCTGCCCTGACAGTGAGTAGGCTGGGCATTGACAAGGGGCTGGAGAAGAAATGCAAGAAGGACAGCTGATCCCAGCTAACCAAAGTACTGTTCACTAGTAAGCAGAAGCAGAATCTTCAGCTTGTAAAATTGATGCAGATGGACTGTGTCATGCTCCTGCAATCAGTTTTGCAGTTATGTAACTTTACACAGAATTACACATATGTATGAGTATATATATGTATATATAAAGAACTAATTACTTATTTAGAACATTGAAGATCACTGCCTTCTAAAAAATAATTTCACAGTTATCACATAAAAACTTGGTTCTGCTGACTGTTTTCCAAGGTAAAACCTCATTCCAAAGTTTACATGTCTTTCTTCCTTTTTTTTAGTGAATATGGCTTGTGTTGCAATTTCATGGTTGTGTCAAACAAAAATAAATTAAGCACAATTACATAATACTAATAAACCAGCCTTTAAAGATGAAGCAATTACTCATACTGTTTCACCATTTGTAATTAATTATAACTGGCACTGAAAATTTTACTTTCCTGTTGCAAACCTTCACTATTACCAGAGCTACCACTGTAGAGGCAAATATACAAAATAAAATGTTGATGCCTTTCATGCTACAATATTATCTTTATTTTTCAGTGGAAAATTACAACAGTTTGTGACATAGTAAAAAAGGAAAAAAATTAGAAGAACATATTTGTTTAGTTTTTACACTTTTTTTCACTCTTGTTCTATACCTTCTCTTTAAAATGCATGCTCTGTAAGAGAAGGAAATTAAAAACGACTGAAATAAAACTGGCTAACACCATCCAAGGTTCAGAGACAAACTACTAAAAATCCAGCCTGCTGAATGGTACCTAGTGTGATAAGTGAAGTGCTGCAAAGAAACAATTAACAGGATAAAATTACAGAACACTACTGAAAGCTTAGCTAAAATTCTGCTGGAATAATAAATTCATGGATGGTGTATCTATTTTCAGATGTAGTTATCCTGGGAAAAATCCATGTAAAATTTATGCACAAGAGTATTTCCATTAGTGAAAACACTGTTAAATTGTAAGAAAAGATGCAGCTGTTTCTGTAACCCAGTTTCATCTAACCCTCCTCTGCCACCCTCAGGCTGTACTGTCACTGAACAGCTGCAGTTCTCAAAGCTTTCCTCATCAAGGGAACTCCCTGTTCCAACAGTCTAAAAGTGTATATGGGACTGAGCACCAGGAGTTCTGAATTCTTGTTTTGGTTCTCCAATTGCTGTTCTATGACCTGCCAGGTTAAATCACTTCCCTACTCCTTTCTGGGATGGAAAGGCAGTGCTGACCCCTTTTTTTTCCTTTCCAGGGCACTGAAGATGAATTCTGTGAAATCCACATCATTCAGGTGTGTTGAGTATGCAAGAACCAAACCAACAATGCCAACACACATTCTCGGAGAAGGGGTTGCACATACCTCAGTGCTGAGACATGTCCTGCCTTTGACACAGTGTAGGTGAAAGACATGTGGAGGAGAGGTCACCCCTACAATCATTTCTCACCAAGGCACTGCTGGAACACAGCACTACAGCTCCAGATCAGCACTGGTTTTCCCTCTCAGCCTTATCTATGGAAAACATTCACCTGCTATAGCTTTCTATTCCTCACCTGTGCTGCAAAAGCATTACAAAATTGAGATAGTCAGGGCTCAGGATCAAGGCCAGAGTCTCCATTCCTAGGGATTTAGGACTTAAAATTAAGTAAAAAGTAAGACAGAGTACTGGTTATAATGAAGAAGTGATAATACTAATCAGAAGGGACTAGTATTTCTTCCAGAGAAAATAAGCTGAAAAGGGCCTTTCCCAGGGAAAAGAGGCTATTCTCTAAAGTGTGTATTTGTAGGAATGAAACACCTGCCAGAGAAATCTCTCAATCCTGCTGGTAAAACATTATGTTCCTTTGACAAAGCACACATCCAAACTGTGTGACTGTTTTAAGAGCTTCTTAACAAAGAGGTTGTTCTGCATGATGACTGCTGGCAGGTTAAGAGCGCCCAGACTCATCAATCCTTTTCACAGCCAGACCCCCTCCAAAATTACAGCCATAGAGTTCTACCCGAAGGGCAATCCCACGGTACCATGTTTTTGGAACAATGCGGATGAACCGGGACAGGATGGGCGGGTTAAAAAAATTCTTGACATGCCCATTGCTGTTTGCATTACCCAAGAAAACCTGCAAATATACAAACACAATTAGTTAAAAGGTGGCATTTCAAAAAAAACCTGCATTTAATTTTTATCACATTTCCAAGCCGTTGCATTAGTCACACCCAGGGTAGATGGACTGGCTCATTTCTGGTTTTAAATAAGACCACAACAAGTCTCTTCCTAATGTGCTGGGTTGAAAGTAGTTCCGGCCAGCAACAGCTGAGTCTGAATGGATTAAACAGCCTCTGTTTCCATCCACACTAGAAAATTTGCCATTCTCATTTCTAATGGATCAAACATCCAAACTCCCCTTATTTCACCACTGGTAATAGTTCTTGTGGGTTAGGTTGGTGTAAGGTAATACAGGAAAAAATACAAAGTACTGTTTCTGCTTTGTGGGTACCTGAAGTTACCCAGTTCTGCTATAGCAATACTGCTCACTAACATTAATTTGACTTAAAATATCAGGGCACAAATAAAAGCCAAGAAGAGGCCCTGGGGAATCCATTATTCACTCAAATTAAATGTCCTTGTGCATTCAAACTAAATGTTCTCCTTTACAAACAGTGTCAGCTCCTTTTATCACAATGTTGGCTGCATTCTCTGCAGATACAGTGTTCATTCCTTTTATTATGATTAATCATGATGACTAAAATCAGATGGATACTGTGACATTATCTGTAGTAACCCCAGCTCCCTAGCACTTTACAGTCCAGTGAGAATATCAATTTGACTGGGCATTCTGCCTGTGAGCCATGACTGTGTCCAGCACCTAAAACCAAACAATTCAATTCAAAACAACAAAACAATTCCATTGCCCGGGCTACCAGTGATACCTTTGGCATTGAGCTTGAATCCTCTATGTAGGATTTCCACTCAGAGCCTTCATTGCTGTACAGAAGAACATAGGTTTTCACAAAGTTTTCAGCTGACATGGACGTCACCCCCTGCGTAGCAATAGCAGTGATCTTCTTTACTGTGAGGAGATCAATTTGCAGCCACTGTTGATTGTTGTTAAACTACAATTGATATGAAAGTTTGTGTATTAGCAAGCATGTAAATATCTGTATTTGCTTAATGAAAAATCTTGTTCACAGTTAGTTAAAACTGTATCAAAATGCATCAAAACTGTATCAAAGAAGTCCAGAAGAATAAAGCTGAGGCAAGTCACAAGCATTCTTCATGACTTATATATTTCACTTCATCACTGCAGGTAGTGTATTTGGAGTCTGAAGATTTATGCTTTAATTTCCAATACACAATGAAATATAACAGAGATTTACCTCCAGTGTGTTAAAATCTAACATAATACTAATACCAAACGCTTATACAAAAGAGCAGCTTGCAGCAAATCTCAAGGTGCTTTGTGAAGAAATGCAGCTCCATTTCAAAGACACAGAAGCTCACATGCCTTGCGCTGAAGGTCACCCACCCCCACATCCACTAGGCTGCACCACCTATAAGTCAACCCAGAATGAGATTCTTTAACCCCTTAGAGACAAATATTCAAATTGCACTCATCTCCTGAAATTAAACAGGCTATTCCCACAGGGAAGTTCTGCAGACTGTGGCCCAGAGGAGACCATCCATCTCTCAAACTATGTCACTGCTGTTGCCAGAAGCTCAACAAGTTTTCTGCTGAGAAGTTGAGTGGTGATCTTCCCAAAGGATGGTTGTGAAGTGACCCTATAATGCTCAGCACTGGCCAGAGCATGCAGGAAGCACCACAACCACACAGGCAGCACCAGTTTATTAACCAGCTGCCCCTGCTGCCTTTCCTGTTGTTCTCTTGTTACCTTGGCTCGCCAGGCATTCATCTTTCCATTCTGATTGAGACGAGCAAGTGAAGCATCCCATGTGTTAAACCAGGATGTCTTTGTAGATGAGGCTGTGATCTGGGTATTCTTGATCTCTCCACTTTCCATTCCAAGTGGCAAAGAGCAGCCTGTTGAGAGGAGCACTGCATCATCTCCAGTACACCCAAGTGGCCAGAGTGAAAGCAACAATGTTGGAACGGAGAAGACCCACAGTTTTAGTTTCATTTAAAGTATTAGGCAAAAAATTTGTCAGAATGGAAGCAGCTGACCAATTCTTACCATCTACTTCGCAGCCCAGAAGCTCCATGCGAAGAGTAGGCCTGTTGTAGACCTCGGTGGGGTAGAGTCTGATGTACCTAGCAATAATAGGGGGATCAATGATGTTCTCTTTTACCTCATAGGCATTGGAATTGCCTTCAAAAATCTGTTTAAAAGAAAAAAGAAAAACAGGGAAAAACCCACACATAATTTAATGCAAACATAAGTTTAGATGCTGAAAGCCTGCTCTGTTACAAATGTAAACTTTTTTATGCCCTTAGCCCTATCCACAGTGACAGCACAGCCTATGCTGCAGGGCTATTTGAAATATCTCATGGTCCCATCTTAGCATATTTGGAAGTGTCTGAAGGGCTCAGTTTAAATAAGCAACGGGTTTTTTTTATGCAAGTCTATAAAAATACATGAGCAAAGAGGCAAAAGGAGAGGTAAAAGACAACAGGCTGGGAGTTGTACCACAGAAACCTCAGTGTAAATTGAAGGGAGCTGTAATAGGTAGGGCTGGAGCAGCTGGTGTAAGATGAACCTCTTTCAGTGTACAACCACACTCACCACACAGGCCTTCTGCAAGCAAATCAGACAGTGCAACATTCAGCTCCTGGGACAGATCAAAGCAAGGGATGAGAAGCAGAATCTAATCCCAAATGAGGTAAGGGCTTGATTTTTAGTTCCTGCTTCAAAAACTGCCAGGAGCTTAGGAAATAATAGTAGGGAGAGATGCCTGTGAGAAAGCCAGACTCCACACAGTCAAGGTCACAAGGCCAGTCCAAATCCAAGTCCAGGCAGTGCCTCGCCTTACAATCTGTCTTCTAGTCCAAATTTCATTAGTTTGGTAAATGCCCTTTGGAGCTTCAAGATGTACCTATTAGGGCTCCAAAGGCCATATTTTTTCCACTCTTTCTTAACATTAAATAAGACCCACTGCATCACTCAGTGATGCTGCCTAGGGTGTTGCAAACCCCATGGCACAGACAGACCTTTCCTGTTGGCGAGCTGTCTCCTTTGAAGGTGTTCCATGTCCGTTTGTCTTTGCTGTAAACAAGAAAATACTTCTGGATGTACAAGGACTTAAAAAACTGCTTGGCTCCCTGTGTCTGTATCCCAGTGAGCAAAACTTGTCTTCGAAAGTCCACCTAGGAACAGCAAAGAGTGTTTATAAAGTCAATAATGCACAGCAAAACCCATATAATTCTTTGGCATTTTAATATGCACAACACTAACATTCTCTAAAGGAATAATAGTTATCAGAGTATCTATCAGAGATCTATCAAATTAATGCTTTCTCATTTCATTTGTGGTTTTGCGTGTGCATTTAATTTCAGAGGCCATTTTACAGGGTTCAGCACTGCATCACAAAGGCACCTCAAAAGACTCTGTGTGTCTGTGGTAGGCACAACTCCCCCCCGCCCCATTTTACAGATAGGTCAAGGAGCACAGAGAAATTAAAGGCTCACGCTTTTAGAAGCCACCTCTAATTTTGGATACGTAGGCTGCAGAAAGGCACATGATATTCTGAAGTGCTGAAAAGCCACCACTCTTGCTAATACCATGTCTAAGCACTTAGCACATAAAAACAAATCTGGAATGTGGGCCCATCAGCAGTGAAACTCATTCTTTGGGACATGCCCTCCACACTTCTGCATGCTTCACTGCAGTAACCTCAGCCTCTCACCACCACAGCCCCTGTTAAATTCTTTATCTTCCCAATGTTATTTCCATCTCCACATCAGATCTCTCAATCTTCTCCCCCTACATCACTTCCACTAACTTGACAGCATGTCAAGTGTTACCAAGTCAAACGCAACAGCCACTGCTGAACTTATCTTCCAACCAATTTTAATGAGATTTATAATAAATCAACTATTCTCCCCAAACTTGGGTGCAAACTGGTTATGTAGTACAAAAGTCATTGGGATGGCAGAAAAACACAGAAGTGAGGTGATTGAATGACAGAGAGCTTGAAGTCATAATTATAAGCTTAGTTTCCCTGTGAAGACAACAGAGCTTTGTCATGTGGGACAGCAGCATACAAATCAGGCAAAAACTATCTAAATCAAGGCTTGAGGATGTTACACTTTAAATGATCACTTAACAAACATATACATACGAATATGTACTGCTAGATAGACAAAAGAAAAATAAAGTAGTAGAAAAAATTACTCCATTTATCTACAAATCTAAATTGTGAGGGTAACTGTCCAGTCAAACAGCAGCAGACATCGAGTTACCCCAGGGAAGAAGAACAGTTCATGGAATCAACAACCTTGCCACATCTTTTCAGTCTTCCCCAACAGTCTTCTCAGTGACAAGAGCAGTCTGACCTTCTAAAATAAGCTGTAGGAAAATCATAACTCAATGATGTTGTACTTTACCTGGATCCAAGGGAGTTCTTCCTCCACTGTAGTACTCCAAGCATTGTATGTTCCATAATTATTTAATCGGGCTAACTTAGGCTCCCAATAGTCTAGAGAGAAAATATGAATAAAGCAAGAATTTTAACATGTGTTGAAAAAACATAAACTAAGGCTATTATTAGCTTTGAGTGTGCCATTTCCCACCCCCCACCCAAAGGATTAAAAAAAATTAAGAAAAAATACAAACAAGAGACTCTAAAACCATAGTCTAGGATAATTTGGACACGATCAGCAACTGAAAGTCATCTGTACCCTGCAAAGCTTTAAAGTTGGCAAAATTACAAAAATAGTAATCTTTTAAGTAATATACTGTCTGTTAATTTGAAACCAGGGTCAAGAGTTTGCTAAACAAGTTTTGGTCCCCAGCAGGATCAGACGCAAAATGTGCTCTACATTCATGGAAGAGAGCTCCCCTGTGCATAAAAAGGTTTCCAAGTTAAACACTGGAATAGAATCTCAGAACAGCTTTCATGTCTTTATAACATTCTATAGGGAAACAAAGAAAGAAAGTCAAATTAAAAAAAAATGAGGTTTTACAAAATAAGTAATTTATTTTTTATTTCAAGGGAAAGGATGGGCATTCTTCCATGTGTGTGTAACCTGTATACCTTGATCTGACACTGTCCATGTAAAATTCTTCGAAAATTCTCTAAGTCATGATCCCAGTTTTGTACCTCAGATAAACTTGACAAATTAAAGACTCTGTAATTGCTCTGGATGCTAGGGTTCCCAGGTCTTTCATGACAGATATATTTTGTCCTTTCACATCTCATACCACATGCAAATCTCAAAAGCTTTTTGAATGCTTGGTGTTATTTTCAAGCAGGGAACCCAAGGGAAAAGAATACTGGATTTGTTCCTGATCACCCAGCAGGCCACAGATGGAGCACTCCCTGACTCTCAAGCTTGTGTCACTGATAGCAGACCTGTGATACTTATAATATAATGATGACGACTACCTAACAGAGCTCCCAGTCTCCACTTGCAGCACTGGAGAGACTTTTAGCCTGACACTAAAAGGCACTGCTGAACTGATCTTGAAAGACATCGGGGAAGCCAAAAGAAGACTTTTGGAACTGCAACATTTTGCTGGGGTGTTCAGGGACCTTTTCAGCGATAAACTCACCTATGTGATGTGAAGCATCAATCTGCGAATCGAGTATAACTCCACTTGCCAGGCCCATTGGAATCCTGCACTCTGAAGGGAGCACAGTAAGTGTGTTGTTAAAGAAAATGAGGGCTATTCCAATATACAGTCTGGTGAAATCTAAGTCAACATCACTCAGGACAATAGTGTAATTCTAGTGCACTATTAATTATAATAATGGTTATTATTATTACCTAGTAATTCTATAACATCACTCTCTTCCCAGAGAAGTCTAAATTAATCTCTGCAATTTCTCTCAACACATTAATCCACTGGTCACTGTAGGGAAACCTCAAATTCAAAGCTAGCATGCTAAAGGAATAAACATAGTGTGCTAAATAATTCAAAGCTAGCACTGCTGGAAGCTAAAAATTTTTTCTAGGACAAATTTACAGTAACCACACCACCATGTACTTAAATGTGGATAATTTCCAAAGTTTTTTTTTTTTTTTTTTTTTTTTGCAGAACAATCTCTCAAATTTATTTCTAGTGATCCTGAAAGGGTAGAGAAGACTTCATAGCTTGACTTTCCCAGCCAAAAAAACACTGTAGTTCATACCTTTCTCTATAACCAAATAGGATGTCTGCATTCCTGCTTGCTGGTATTCCCCCACTTCAGTGTCTAAAAGCCACCAGCCAGGTCTCTGTGGTTTCATTTCAATTGTTCTAAATGAGCCTTGAAAAAAAGGAAATGAAATATATCAGAAATATTGGCATTACAAGGTTGATGTCAGTGACGGTGAATTTTAAACCAAACACCTTCCTACGACCTAATCCAGAAAATTTAAATACACAATGCAATAAGAGCAGTAACTTCCACCAACTCAGTGATTTTTTTTTTCTTAGCAAGCTAGTTCTAGTTGGAGACTGAGATTGGAATCAAGTAGCCAGATCAAAACCCAACCTTTGCTGATGGTGCACAGTTCAAAACCTTGGCTGCCTGTACATAACAACAGATATCTGCATGTTAACTACAGTGCTGAACAGTGTAGTGAACAGTGTTTATTACATAATGCAGGGATGTGAAGTCTGTGGTGCTGGTTATGATTCTTACTCTGGCTGTGCCAGTGTGTTGTTCCAGTAATGAAAAGAAGCCAAAAGTAGAAGTAGGAAAATTAGAAGTATGGGCCCTCTCTGCATGCCCCAGGAGTGTCAAGGATTGAGCAGGAAGCAGATATGGTTTCAGTTTCTTGATGCACTTTTTAGAAAGCACAGGACATGTCCTCATTGCTTTTCTTACATTCCTAGTTGCTGCAGACAATTCTTCAGGTAATTCCAGCTAATTCTGGTTCCCATTTAAACAAAAATATGTAGATTTCACAGTGAAAAGCACTACCTTAAAAATAATGAAATGAAATAGTGAATAAACTACCCCTACTGTTCACTAAAACTCCTAGTATTCCAAGCCAGTCCCATTATTTTGATCTCATTGTTGTCTGTTTTTTCCTTGAACCCTTGTAGCTGGCAATACAAGCTTCATAAGTGCTGTTGATTGCACACTGGCACTGCTGACGGTGATGAGACAGAAGACTTCATCCTGCAGTCTAATGAATACTTACAGCCTATTTCTCCCTGGAGAAAGGATAAGAATTCTCCTAGGGCTCACAGTTGTTCTTTCTGTTCTGTATCACTTACCCGGACGTTAAAACCCCCAAATTCTCACCATATGGAGACCTTTAAATTGGTGTGATAATGACAGACCGCAAAGGTCACCCCTTAGAACTTACTCTGCTCTGATGCTTACCTGGGAGCAGAGTGTATGTACCAAGCTGATGCTCTGGCTCTCCTTGTTCTATGAAAGTCTGTCCATGAAAATGAACAACATGAATATCTTTTGGCCCACCCATATTCATCAAGTGCCATCGGACTGTTTCACCTTCATACATCCTCAAGCCTTGCAAATTGTAGGTAATCCCATTAATGGCTGAAAAAAAGATTGTTAGTCAGGAAAACTGCCCACAAAACTGGTCTCAAAGTACTAGAAACTAATTATTGAAATTACCAAAATATTTAATGAAGCAATGCACTTGGGAAAACCATATTTTTTGTGCAACACACTTTATGGTCTATGTACATCAATACAGAAAATCCAGGGAGCTCACCAGAAGATTTGAGAATAGCTTGGTAGCAACATGACAGCCAGGAAAAGATTTAAATGTAAGATGGGAATATCAGGCCCAAAAGAAAGGGCAGCTATCCAAAACTCTTTCTGCAGCTCCCAATTCCACAGGCACAACTGACATACCTCTATATCCACAGAGAGGTGTATGAAGGGCTGTCCTACAGCTGCTTTAAATTCCTCATTAGAACTACCTGATTTGTCAAATTATTAAAATATTGTTAAATTTCTTGCAAGAAGTTGTCAGGGTACTAGCTTCTTATTGCAAAGAAGACCTCTTTGTTTATTTTTTTCTTTTAATATGGTAGGAATATGTATCCGAATACAATAGAGAAGTTTTCTGTTGAAAGTTTCAGTCTAATACGCCCTTTCTTAATTTTAATAGCAAATTTCCCATCATTGCTAATTTTTACATGTAAACCCATGACTACTATGGGTACAATGGATAACAACAACAAAAAAATACACATAACTAATATGTGGGATTTACGCATGTTGAAAAGAACTGTGAGTTGAGATACTTCCCAACACCTTTCCCTCTATCCCAATAAACTGCATATTTGGGAAAATGAAATAAGTACCATAGAATTTGTGGCATTGCTGCATTTCTCGTGTCTTCTCATTACAAGGCCTTCCAGAATGTTTGTCGAAGTACCAGCTTTTCTCTTCATCAAAGACCATAAAAAGCAAGAAGAAGTCTCGGGTATACGTTCTGCTGCTGTTTGATTTGCTGAAGGATCCTTTTTCACAGATCAGTATTGGCCCAATCAAACCAGACTGAATGTCTTTCTCCTAGAAGGTAATAAACTCATGTTTAAAGGTATTTGGATTTCCCAAAAGATGTTAAAAAAACCCTATAGCACTCTGCAGGAATGCATCAGCCCCTAAAAATACAAAGTAAGGTCCTAGAATTACTGCTCCCTTCTATCTTTACTCTCCCCTGCTCAGTCTACCAGAGTTGCCCAGTTCAAAGTCTTCCATACCTTATCTCCTGCTTTAGCTGAATGCAAGAGATTAAACATCAGATGGGAACATTGAGCCCAAAAGAAAGGACAGCTATCAAGAAATGTGTTCTGCAGCTTGCACTTCTACAGCCATGCATCATTTGGAGATACTCAAAACCCAGCTGAACACTGGTCCTGGACAAACTACTCCAGCCAACACTGCTTGAGTTGCAGTGGTGGACTGAATGATCTCTGGTGATGCCTACCAACACAAGTGTTTCTATGATTCTGTGATCAACCCCAGCAACACCACCACTTCTATTTTCATTCCCTTACCAGGTTTAAATCAGAGTAGTAGATCCAGGACCGACAAGCTGCTCCTGACTGCAAAGGGCCCGATCGCTGGCTTGCGTACCATACATATATGTAGCTGTTATTTGGCTGAACTTCATCTTCCTTAAACCAAGCAGTAGATTCATCATCATAAACGCTTCCCTCAGAGGACTTTTCATAGAGGACTCCATGGGCATGGAGGGAATATGGTCTGGATGCCAGATTCTTAAAATGAACCTAAAAAACCCAAAATATATTCTGTTCATCAAACTCAGGCCTGAAGTCCCAACACACTAAATTCCCATGACCTCAAACCAGGTCAAGATTTGCATAAAGATTACAGGCTACATTGTACATGGAAAAGCCACCAGAGAGAGCTTTTGACATCTCCATGCAGTCTCCACCTTTGAAGCAGGTAGTTAATGAAAAATCTGAAAGCACATGTTTAGCTCCCTGTCTTCCAACAAGGTGAGGCTCCCAGCACATTTACTGCTTCCCCTCATACCTGGAGCTGCTTAATTACTGCCCTTAGTTAGCAGGGAAATGGGGAGTTTCTGCCTCTTAGCTTTCCTGCAGACATTACAATATAGTAACTCTAGACCTCTGTATGTATCATTCTTGCTGAAATCTGTGCTTCCCAATTGTCCCATAGAAACACCAGGATGGTGTTTATTTACCTCTCCTTAGAGAATAATGCTCCCAAGCTACACAATCTTTTTCTTCTCTTACTTATGATTTAAACATAGTTTGGTGAGTTCCTATTGCACACCACTCCTACTGAAATAAGCAGAAAGCACTGAGATCTATTCTCCTTATCTAAGTCCATCGTTGTGTGTTGGAAGACTGGATGAAGAAGGATGAGAAATTTTACAGCAGTCTGCTTCCTAATGCAAATATACCACAGTGTCACCAGGGACATGGTTCCTCTTCATCCTTGTTGATAGTTCTAATAAAATCCTGCACACTTACACAGCAAAAGTTTTTAGAGGAAATTATATATTTTCCCAAAAAGTTTATAATATTCTTGAACACATATGTACTAATTTTTGAGTTTAGAAAACTCATTTTTCATTAACATTAAATGTAAATCTTATTTTACAGTAGATCAATGAGCCAGTATTTAGTGCTGGGAAACATAAGAAAGAAAAACAGAATTTAATTTGCTGCAGACAGGAGAGAAAAAAGATGTGTTTCTTTGAAACACATCACACTGTTCACAAGTTCACAGTGCAACTCGTATCTTTGAAAACTGTTTCCCCTTCATTGTATTTTAAAAATTGGTGGTATTTTTAGATCCATTATGTCACTCTCCAAGATCACTGTAAGAATCTTATCCTGCACACACAATCAAAACATTGACCTACTAAGATAACATCGTCCACTTCAGCCCGAATAACTGGCCCCAGGATGCCAAGATGTTCTGTATATTCATCTTCATCCTGAAGAGTCGAAAAGGTACTGTCTGTATAGCTCTGGAAAATCACCTTATGTCTGCTGCCATCTTTACAGGTTTTGTCATTCCTCATTGCACTGAAAGGAAAACCCCAATTAAAATCCCACACAGGGAATCAGAAATATTAGCTTTGATAAAACCTGAGAACTCATACAGCAGAAACATTTTAGAATTCTGTGAATAGAAAGAATAAACACTCAAATGCCTTCAAACTGTGTCAAGGAAGGTTTAGATTGGATATTAGCAAAAATTTCTTTACCAAATGGGTTGTTCAGGGAAGTGGTTGAGTCCTGGTCTCTGGAAGTGTTTAGAAGATACGTGGATGTGGTTCTGAGGGACACGGTTTAGTGGTGAACCTGGCAGTGCTGGGTTAAAGGTTGGACTCAATGGCCTTAAAGGTGTTTTCCAACCTTCTGTGAATCTACAAAATGAGTGTCAGATGGTTCTGAAAATCACGGCTTGCAAACATTTAAGCAATTCAAGTTCTACAGGTATATAAGAGATCCCTCAACCATTTGGTAAACTATCCCTAAAAAACTCCAACAAGTCTCTCAAAATCCATCTAAGCCTTATCTTCCTTTTATTCTTAGCCTTAATAATCTTAATTGGAGTTTGGCTGAGTGTAGTGAGCCTATCACCTACACTGTACTGTCTCTCAGATCTTTACATCTGATAATACCTGCATTTTGCATCACAGATCTGGTGTGGTAAAATAAGTTTTTAGACATTCAAACTGTTGTTCAGGTCTTAAATAGAAGCATTGAAATGCTATTATAATTACCTACAAATCTTGCTTTATTATAAATTCTGCAAAATCAAAAAATGTAATCTAAGTTACATAGAAGAAATGCTGGGTTACAGCTCTTCAATACACTGAAACAGGATATGCCACGAGCTCTGTTAAATTCACTGGAACTATGAAGATCACACCAGCTGAGGATGAACACCTCTGGAGAGACCTATATAGGGGTCTAAGCATAAAAAAGTTCTTGATTTTGCAAGTGCCCAAAGAAACTGTCTTGTTTCTGCTATTTTTGCAAGTGCCATTTATATGGACTGAGATAAAGCAGGAGTAAGTAATGAAAAAGTGTTATTTTTATTTCCATCAAATTAAATGAAAATTCAGTTTGAGAAATAATTTATGTTTGGAGATTCATTTTGCATAATGAAAACATTCTTGCTCCTGTTTTGGCTGCTTTTGATAAAAATCCAAAGTTGTGCAAGTTTTGGTTCAGATTTTTGATGAAAATGACAAGGAATTCTATGCCTTGTTGGGTGAGCACTGATCCTAACCTGTATCAATTAAGAGAGTGAATTTTTAGTACAGTGTTTCTCTCAGTATATTCCCACATATTCTTTGCTGTGGCACAGTAGCCAGTCTTGCCTGTCAAAATGTAAGGAAATCCTTCAAACCTAGGATTCAGTCACCTTCTGATTTCTCTAAGCAGCAGTAGCAACAATAATACTTTATTCAGCTTTGTTTTTACTCTGAATATAAGGCAGTCACCAGTGTGGTTAAAAAACTTGCAGCTTTCATATAATTTTTAATACTGCAGTCTTGTGAATTTGTAGAGTGCTGCTATCCCATTTTCCAGCAGAGAACTGAGACACCAGAACCATTTCCTGCTAGTGCTAGAAACTGATTTCATCCGCCTATAAGCACACCCCATTCTAGATTCCATCAGTTAGTCCATTAAATTCCTGGAAAGACTTTGCACAAGGAGGCCTCTGTTCTGTGTACACATACCAAGAACAGAAGCACAAAGTAAAACATTCAAGTATAACAAAACAAGCTGCAAGATTCCCTCTTATAAAACTCCAGGTGAGTTTTATAACTGATGTATTAAAGACTGTTACTAATGAGTCTACCAAAGGGGGGTTAAGAAAAAAAAAAAAAAAAAAAGAGTTCTTAGCTGTGCTGTGCTTGATTACAGCGATCTCACTCTGATATTTCTAAGGGGTGTGAGTCTCCTGCAGAAAATACTTACGGTTCTGCCACTGAAATGTCAGAAATCAGATGCGTATTACAGACGCTTTTAATTTTATCAACATGTGAATCAACATTCTGCAAGGTTTCATGATGGTGTGCCAAATGAAAGCAAATGATTTAGGCAAACCTTTTCTTATATCCTGCATAGTTCCAGCAGACTTCTTTAGCTGCAATGTAGTATCTCCTCTTGTTGCCTCTGCTGCGCAGGTAATGCTCAGCAATGTCATCCGGGTCACGCTGCCTACTGATGTTCACCTTGGGGTCTGTCATGTAGGGGTCATCAAAGCTCACATAATGGTACTCGTACTCCCCACCCGAGCTCTCGTCGCTGTAGGATTCTCCTATCACGTAGTCGTAGTCTCCATCTGCTCGGGGAAGGCCGATGGTGATGGATGGCCTGAACTGCTGCGGGGTGAGGCTGTCACCCAGCGACTCTCCTTGCCTGCCTCTGCTCACATCCACCCTCTGGCTGCCCTCGCTGCCTGCCCTGGTGGTGTCTGTGCAACACGGCACTGCTGTGTGGTTGGTCCCGCCTGGAAGCAATGCACGGCCAAACCCTGCTACAGAATTGCTAGGCTTTTTGGGGTTTCTACTCCTTGGGCTCAGCAAGTAGGTAATTTTTGCATCTTCCTTCTTTCTCCTTCGGATCTTGAAGGTTCCAGACAAAGTCACGGTATCATTGTTGTTTCCCTCCTTTCCTTTATGAGTTGGGTGCATGTGGGTCCCTTTCTGGTTTTCCCCCATTAGATGTGAGAACCCTTGATACTTCTTCATATCCTCCTTATTTATGGATGCTGTACCATTTCTGCCATGATGATTTAACTTACCACCAGCAGATTTATCTAAGCTTGCCTCTAATCCCAGATTCATCTTTGCAGATACCAAATTCCATTCCTCACTAGTCATTTTAGATGAATATTTCCCAGCCCCAGGCAATGATGCTTCTAGTAAGTTCTTCACTACAGCAGGGCTAGAATTAGGGCTTGTATTGTCTAACATATATTCTAAAGAAAAAACATCTTCTGGTTTATTTTTGGATATCCTGGGTTCAGAAAGGCCAGATGCATTAGACCTATCTCCTACTATGAGGTCCAAATCCAGTGTCAAGTTAACTGTGTGCATGACGTTTTCCATCTTCTTTCCCTCCTCTTCCAGATCATCATCATGTTCATTTGGCAGTTGGCCAGTTCCCACCATGGCTTCATTGGATGTGTTTTCTGTATGATGCACAGAAAGAGGCACATCAGTCTTGCCAGAAAATGAGACATTTTTATTTCGGACATGATTTAGAAGGGTATTCATCTTTTGGACAGAGTAAAACTTAATGGCCAGTGAGCTTCGCCTTTTCCTTCTCTGGTTAGTGGTATAATTTCCTCTTCCTGGGCTTTGCTCTTGATGTTTTTCTGGAAAAGGTTTATTGTCATTTCCACCAGCTGGAAGCTCTTCTGCAACATTCACTGGGCCTTCCCCATTGCTCAGCAAGTGTTCACCTGCAGACATATTACTGTGAGCTATTTCATAGCTGCTTTGGCTTCTATTCTCAAATACCAAGTCAGCTTCTCCATCACTCATGGTAGCTAAAACTAAATCCTCTTCTGCTGTGATTGATGTGTGATTTGACTGGAATGTTTCAGCCTTGCCTGGGGGAAGAGGAGTGATATGAGTTTCTAAGAACTTAGAGTTGTTTGTTGTTCCACTACTATTTATAGCTGTCAGACCTGAGCCAACTGCCACCTCAGAACTCGTAGCATCAGTGTCTTCATACTCCTCCCAGGCCAGGGCTGTAAGATTCTGTTTTTCTTCATCACCTGCTGCCATTCTTGAGCCTCGGATGGAGTAAAAAGAAGCCAGGTAATCCTGGTAATCTGATTCCTCCTTGTTTTCCTCATTTTCTTGCACATCTTCCTCAGCTGAAGTGGTAACAGCCTTTCTTTCAGCCTTGGTGGGACTTAAAGCCACAACATCAAATGTTTCATCTTCCTCATAGTCACATTTAGCATCCCTGAATCTCAGCCGCATGCCGTAACTCATTTCTGGGGTGCCCCAGGATGCCAAAAGCCAAGTGCCTGCAATTGAAATAAAGGTGTTATGAGACTGGACAGTGTTTGTCACACAAGTGGCCAAGGCAAATAGTTGGTGTTGCTTCTACAGCACCTGCTATAGAAGACTGCTAATCTTGACCTGGGATATTCATGAGCTCTCACTGCAGTGAAAAATAGTTATTAAATGTAGACAAATAGGAGCATGTATAAATAAATCTAGGAGATTGAACTCTTTTCAATAGATTAAACTGTAACTAGAACCTGAATCCAAAAGTAACCCATGAAAGAGATGGATATGATAAAGAAAGAAACAAATTAAAGGATCCAATGTTTAGATCCAAGAGTGAGACTTTTCAAGATAAAGTTTCAATTTTATCCTGTCTTTATGGGTGCATGCACTGCTACATTCTGAGCAGAGCAAATACATTCTGAGGCAATGTTGGCAAACACAGTATTTTAAAAGCTTTTGAATAAACCATGGATGATCTTTAATAAGTATAATAAGAATAAAGCAATTTGAATTTCCAATCTGACACAAGCTATTAAACTGCCAATCTGAGGCATCTCAGATTAATTTAAAGGTTTTAATAATTCCTCCAAAACCTTGTCACAAGGTAAGTTCTCGATTGGAAACTAGAAACTAGAGAAGAAAATAAAATCTGTTTCCCTAAAAAACATCAGATCAAGTTCTTTGCTTGTTAAACCTTGCTTTTGGAGTGAGCATAAATGACAGAATAGACAGAAGTAACACCCTGATAAACAGGGTTTTTTTTATTAAAAAGGTCACATACAATTCTGCCTGTATTGATCGGCTTTGAATGACCTGCACAGCTTTCCTGATTTCTAAAACCAGCAAATTTATCAAAGAAAATATGGCCTAGATGGAAAGAATAGACTGCATACCAAAATCAAACAAAAATACAAGTTTATTACTGGGGAAGTTTACATGAAGTCTAATAGTGTTTTAATGATTCCCTAGTCTTGAGCAATATAAGCCACTTAAACATTTTTAAGTTATAAGGTCTTGATGCTGTACAATACATAAAATATATTTATTTTAAAAATAAGATATTTTAAATGGGATAAAGATACTTAAACCTTGAGAGATTTTAGAATGATCACTCAAAGTGGACAGACTTCAATGACAAAGAATCTGTCCTTTTTGGAAGTAATGCCTTAAATGTGGACTACATGGGTTGTGATGGCCCCTCTTCCAAGACACAGTGTTAATTCTAGCTAGACATTGAGATGCATCCCACAGTCCAGTGACCCAGTTCAAGCAGGCAGACTTTACTGCTGTTCAATAACCACAAGACCAAGGTTAGGTGTAGCCATTTTACCCATTAATGACCAGCAGAATTTGACAGTTTCAGCCCATTTTAGACTGCTCAGAATAGACAAGAATGTGGCAAACCTGGAAATCATACAGTGGAGTTGATACCAGTTACCGAGAAGAATCTTGCCTTAAAATTATCATTACTAATCCCAGTATTAATTGTGAAGTGGAGAAAAAAAAAAAAACAAATCACAAAATGACCAACAAAAAGAACCTCAGTACAGCATACAGCTAAGCTGGTGTAGCCAGCAAAACTCCATGCACATGACTTGCACTGGGGAATGATTCAATGTTTTCTAGCACTGTGTTTATCAGAAGAGTTTTCTCTCCTATTTATATAAGTCCTTATAGACTGGAGATTAAATAATGTCTTAGAAGAGCTGTCAAGCACTACAGTTCCACCACTTACCACCATTGTCCATTTCCACTGTGACCGATTCTCCGCTCATGGGGAAAAGGCTCAATGTATCCTCATATTTCCCTTGGTACAGAAAAAAGTGTCCAGCAAGGCGAACAGAGACAAGCTCATCATGAGTGCCAACACTGAAAAAGTGCCACTGAACCACAGTATCTCGGCAAAATCCAAGGATTTCACTGCTGTCAGACACATAGCCATTTATTGCTAAAAGGAAAGCAAAGTGTTTATTTTGGTATGTTTATTTTAGAACTTCCCATTCTTTCATGTCAGTGCACTGGACTTATGTTTGCACTGGGAAGAGACTGGCACAGAGCTGAAACCATGGTAATTTCCATCTCTAAAAATATTATCTCTAAGACAGCAGGGTGCTGCATCAAAATTTAGTTAACCCTTGTCTTTGCATCAGGGTCCAGCGCCAGCCTAGTGGCAAGATGTGGGTAGGACTTTTCTCCCTGGCAGCTAGCAATAAAACAAGGGGAAATGGCCTCAAGCTGCACCAGGGGAGTTTCAGGTTGGACATCAGGAAAAATTTCTTCACCATATATGGAGTGTATGACCATTGTAACAGGCTCCCAAAGGAAGCAGTAGAGTCATAATCCCTGGGAGTGTTCAAAAAACAAGCGAATGTGGCACTCAGCAATATGTTTTAGTGGGCATGCTGGTATTAGGTGAGAGGCTGGACTTGATCTTGGAGGTTTTTTCCAACCTTTCTAATTCTATGACATGTCCTATTTGTGTCCAGTGCCACCTGGCATAGTTAGAAGTTCACTGACTCTCTGGAGGATTCTGAATCACATGTACTTCTGAGAACAAGCAATCACTGAGTGCTCAGGTTCATATAAGCTTTCCTATTATTCATTTCAGTATCCCACTCACTGTGCATTATATTCGAGTTATAGAACTTGGGATCATCCCTTTTAACAGTGGCTGGGTTGCTGCAGTACTCCTTGATGTTATCCTCTAGGTACCAGCTCTTATTTTCATCGAACACAGCAAACACTGCCTGCTGCTCCTCATCTGCCTTTTTCTGAAAGACAATCAACACAGCAGTTACATTTTATCAGCTGATACATGTATTAAGAGCTCAATCCTGCAATCTCTTTCTTACTATGTGAGCAACATAAGCTTCACCAGAGTCCTGGTAAGTGTGATCCAAAGGTTATGGGGAAGGGAGCAGAGGGCTCCAGACTACAATCCTACTACTGCAACCAACCTGCAGTGGAATGCTGAGCAAGCCTCTAGCACTGCTGATGCACAGGTGGTTTATCACTGGGTTCTCTGTAACAGAGACAGTCTTCTGGTTTGACCTGACAAAGCTTCTGACAATTTTTTTTCTCAAGTGATGCTTAAGTCTTTGCCAAGCAAGATTTCAATAACTGGTAAAGAGAAGCCCTCTCCCAGAACGCTCCCACGCTGTTTTAGATTCATTGTTGCTCTAGATTCATTGTGCCTGAGATTGTCAGGTGCTGTGGAGCTGTCTCTGTTATAGAATGGAAGCAGGTCAGATATGAACATCTTCAGAGTATGAAAACATAATAGCAGCTGGAAAATTTATTATCAAGTCTAGAAATAGACTTTAAAGTCTGGCTGACCTTTTGTTGACCTTTCTTAGTGCTTGCTAAGAAACACCGTTAGAGGACCGTTTCTTCAGGAGCCTATTGGTTTAACTGCCCTCCACAGAACAGTCCTCTCAGGGAAGTAAAACTAAATTCAGTGTAGAATAAATAGTATTATTTGAGTAAAATCTGCCCAAACAAGTTACCTGCACACCCTTTTGCGTCAGTGCTTCACTTTTACAAATCAGAAGTGGGCCAATCAGTCCAGAGGCTATATCTCTCTCAATATTTACAGCACTATGATACATCCTTGTAATACATTGTGCATCCTGTGCAGTGGGTTGGTCTGTTTTAGCAATCTTCCACTCATAAGTGTATGTATTCCCTGGTTCAACTCCTCTACTCTGGGTGCCATTGCCTAAGGAAAAACAAGAATAGTAATGATACAAACTCAGAGCCAAATCTTAATATCAAGCTGCACCTTCTAATGACATTAGTGTAGTTTGGCCATTAAAAGATACCTTGAGATGACTGAAATTCAGCAAGAACTAAAATCACAAACAAGAACAGAAAACTAACACAACAAAGAGGGTATTTGTCTCTGCTTTGCAGATAATACCTTGGTTTCTCTATAAGGCAACACAACAGGTAAGCAGAGGCAGAGCACAGAACTGAGGTCTCCCAGTCATGCACATTCCCAGCCACAGCACCTCCTTCAAAGCAACAAAACCATCCATAACAGTTAGTGATGTGCAAAAATATATTTCACAAATTTTTTACTTGTGGGATCCAGAGGATAATCAGCTCCTTCTGCATTCTTTGCAAGTGTCACTCCATGGAAATAAATGCTGTAGGGTCGACTGGCCTTATTTTTGAATACAATCTACATTGATAGGCAAATGAAAAAAAAAAAAAATTAGGATTCAACAAATCCTTGTCTGAATACATAATGAAGTTACCACTACAGTAGAATTTGCACCTGGGCTTAGCCCAGAAAGTGCCAGAAAGGCAAAAGGGTGTCTTAAGTATTGTTTGATATACAGACCCAAAGAATAATTGCTGTTACCATTCTGCTGGACTTTGTAGACCCCACTGAGTGAAGTTTAGCTGCTTACAGCTGGGCTCTGGAAGGTCTAAAAAGAACACTTGTTCTTCTAGTTACTAGGCACACATTATCTCTGGAAATATGAAGTTACTGACTGAAGTTCTCAAAAACCTTCAATATGGGAGAAAAAAAATTTAAAACCAAAGCTTGTCCCAGATTCCAAGACTCAGAGGAGATACGTAAGGAAAAGGCAAAATTTCCTGCCTATTCTTGACAAAATCACGATTGAAAAAAAAAAAAAAGAGAGAAAAAGAGAAAAGAAAAAAAGGAACGTGCTAAGCTCAAATATAGAGCCTCAGAGTCATGGTGGAAATTATAGAAGTTAAAGGTTATGGAACTTTGTGGTGCATCAGTAAATGACAACAGAAAGACAAGTGGATGTTGTAATGCAAGTATTTTGTAGTGTCATGGTATAACCTCATGAAATAACATTTGATCAAGGAAACTGAGTACCTTTGTCTAAAACAGCTGGAAAAAACATTAGCATAAGAAACAAGAGGCTCATGAAGTTCAGCCTCACATACAAATCTCCTCAGAAGTCCACCCAGGTCTAGGGTTTTTTTCCCATTTGGACCAGTATACATATACCAGTCAACATATATTTTACAGAGTGTGACTGAAGCATGTTTATGTTGTAAAATAAAGCACAATCATGGAAACTATAGAAGGAAGACTGAAAAATGCAAGCTAAACACTATTAGTTATGATCATACTTTTTAAAAGGGCCAGTATTTAGAACATTAGCTATATTATTTGAAAGACAACAAAAATCAAACTAGTTCCTCTGTATCTCTGCCTCAATGAAAAACATGCTATAGTATAAATAATCTTTGTATTTGTGTTACTTACTCTGACTTTATCATTGATTTGAGCTCTGATAATAGGGCCCAAGATTCCAGTTTGCTTGGGACGAGGATTTTCCAGACGTTTAGTAAAGCTGGCATCAGTATATTGTGTAAATATAGCCTTTTTATACCTTTTACCTATGAGATTGGAGAAGTTGTCCAAGTGTTGTGATTTATAGTGTCTTAAAAATAAAGGAAAAAAAATTATCAACAAAACTTGAATAGTAGCATCTGTTAAAATACAAAAATAGTATTCAAGCAACTGGTAGAAATCTACTGCTTGAAAACAAATCCAAATCCTAAAGTTACCTAAAGCTTTTCATCCCGAACTCTAACCTAAATTATGTAAGAAGAATCTTAGATCTTTACTTGCATTTTGGTATTACATATGACCAATTAATATCAGAGTTTACATTTAGCAGTGTACACACAAGTATGAAACAATCTGAAGCAGCAGGTACGCTTTCAAGGTAAGACAGAAATCACTGTTTTCCTTTTTCAAAGGCCTAGTTGAGCATGAATTAAAAAAATCAATTTGCTCACAGTAGCAAAGACTCCAGGAGAAATAGGAACACAGACTTAACACAACACTTGTATGGTGCACAGTCAGGCATCATACAAGTAAGTACTGTTACACTGAGGTTTCAAATATTAAAATTGTTAATGTTGAGAGAAAAAACTAGAATAAACACTTGGAATTTACACAGAGCAACATGTTTGCTGTCACTCACAGTTCAAAAAAGGTTACTGAAAAGGGATAAATTCTGGAGTTTTGAACAAAGGAAGAAAGATCAAAGCACTGAGGTGGTTAAGTAAGGCAGTGTGACTGTCAGGAAAGATATAAAAGTTTGTTCTGTGCAGTTCAAGAGCACATAAGGGAAGCAAATCATGACAAAGGACAATGAATTGTGCAAACACTGTATTTCTAAGGAGGCATATGAAACTATAACCCTTACAGAATAAGGAATTTGTTTTGTTCTGCTTAAATTCTTAATGATTCATATGAGTGTCAGTTTGTAAAGGCTTGTAAAGACACAAATAGCAATGAGGAACTGACAGATTGGAAATTTAGCCCCACAGTGCACTGTGCACTATGACATCATGTATGTTACAGTATTCCTTCTATTCCTTCTATTTGTCTTAAGTTGAGGAAAATAGCCCAATATGCTTACTTATGCAGATGTCATTTATAGAGAGCTCTTTCTCCTGTTCCCTAAACACTTTATTGTAGTGAACTTCTAAAAACTTTTAATCTCCAGAAATATTCCCTCCCTATCTCAGAATTGATGCTGGAAAGTATTTTAGAAAATAAGCTTGTATGCTACTTTGGACAATTCCTCAGTCATCTCGTTATTTTGGGCTCCCTGTGAGAGAAAAAAATAAAGTGTCCACTGTTGGGCTTCTCAGTGAAGAAAGTCACTGAAACTGGCTAGAGTCTAGTGAAGGGCCACCGTGGTGATCAGCGAGCCAGAGCACTTGGCATAGAAGCAAAATTCCAGTTTCTTCAGTCATGCAAAGACATAGCTAAGGGAGCATCTTATGTTTAACCTCAACTATCAAATTGACATTATAGAGAAAGCAGGACCACATGCTTCTCAAAGCTGCATGGTGAAGAGACGAGACACAATGGACACAAAGTGCACCATGAGGAAGAATGTTTACATACAAGGAAAAACTTTTTCACTGTGAAGTTGCAAAGGTGCCAAGAGAAGCTGAGGGGTCCCTGTACTTGGAAACAATAAAAATGCAACCACATAGAGTCCAGTGCAACTTTGCTGTTGGATACCAAGAGGTTCTTTCCAGCCACAATTATCCTGTGATTTCATGTTAACATTCCCTGTTATACTGACAAACTATTATTTTACCTATCAAGGGTGTCTGGAATACTTGGGGCATAATCCCAGGTAACTTCTTCTGCAGCAATGAAATAGTCCCAGGTTTTGACCATAAGGCGTTCTCTATAGGAGAGACGATTCTTCTTCACCTCTTTGTCCCCACAGTCCCTTACAGTGAGGTAACCGTGCATTCCAGCTAATTGAGAGGAAACAGGACCATAGTGATTTCCCATCTGAGGAACTCTTACCACTTCAGCTGTTTTTCTACCCCCAAAAGATATCTCCATCTCTTATAAAAAAGTTATTTTTCTCATTCTTTAAAATAGAATTCTGATTATTGCTGAAAGATACCACTTTCAAATGATGAACAGAAAATAGTTTCATCACATTGAAGTACCCTTAGCTGAAAGTACTCAGTTTCTCAGGAAACAGATAGTTTCTTACTAATTTTATAGTGGTGCTTATCTGAACAGTTCACAGAGACTTAGGTACTGGAGTATTGAATCACTGTTGCTCTGTGATGTGGACACTGCAGTAAAGGTGCAGATAACAACATCTTTCAGTTCACCATGCACTCCCAACAGAATGCCTGGTTCTTGGTCAGTTTCTTAGTGAAATGACAAAACCACTTGAAACAGATTAACTGTACCGTTGCTGCAAAACAGCAGAAGTCACTTGGGACATAGAGAAAGACAGCTTTAGTGGTGCCTAATAACTAGATGTTTCCTTGCCTTGCAGGTGCTTTTGGACAAGAGAAGATATGAGCCACCTTCCTTCCTCCGTCACTGTCATGTTTACGGTGGTTGAGGCTCCTCCCACCAAGTTAACAGCAGAAACTCGGCGATGTTTTTGCTCCATGGACTGGCCATTGATGTGAATGGAGAAGATTTCTGGCTTGGAACTCATTCCTATCAAGTGCCAGCTAATGTTGTCATATGCACAAGCCTCTAAATCTGAAAGAGACAAGAGATTAGGGTTCAGAATACAGGCAAATCATGCAAGTTCCCCATGCACTCTCTGTTTCAGTGAATCTTCACTGAAAACATTAAAAAAATTTTGCTGTCATCAATGTTTGCAACAAGAGGAAATTCCAGGAGCATGTAAATGGAACAGATACCAAAATCATGTGTCAGTGGAAGATAGATGACACTTACCTGCAAGTGACAAACTGACGTATGACAAGCTGGGAAAAAACAGGAAAAAAAAACCAGTGCCTTCTTTTGGAAAGCTGACCTGTTCTTGCTTGTGAAGTGAGGGGAAAATAGGGCAGGAAATGCAAAGAACAAAGCAAGGATCTAAGCTAAAGATTGATGTGGTATCTACTGACAGTAACTACCCTCTTCAATATTTCCTTAAAAAAATCGCCACTTAAGACGGCCTTTTTTTGAGCCCATTTGATCAATGGATGGGAGAGAGATATGAAAGTTTTTTCTTAGGAAAACAACAGAAAAGCACTAGCAACAGAACTGCCCCACTACCATCTTCTTAGTCTTCTCACTTAATTGAGTCTTTTAATGATAACTGACTTTCCACTTTCAGGAAGTTTTACACCCAGTATGTTCTATATGCTGTAAAACCAACAATTCATTTAATCAAATCCCTCTCTCACAATCAGCTTGTTATAAAAAACCAAGGAGTTCATTAATTTTTTTAAAGTTAGTAATCCTTTTATTCAAGCAGAAGTCTTCCTAGAAGTAATCTCATTATTCCTATCAGTAATCTGGTGTGACTTCCTTTCAGCAGCACAGGTTTTCTTGCAGAATTTAGATGCTCACAGACACATTCTAAAAATGGCTGTATCCCATTTCTCCACATTCCCATTCTTGTGCATGAAAAGGAACTAAAGGTAATATTCAGTGTTCATAAATGTTAGTTTTATTTCACATAAGCCAGAACAGTACCTGGTAACATTCCATTAGTATAGCCATTAATTGTATACTTGACTGATGCTGATTTTTGCCAACTCTTGTTTTCATCAAACACACCAAACATCAGTACATATTCCCTGTCAAAATGTTTCTGTGACCCATCCTCATTTAGACTTCCTGTGAAGGAGAAACAACAGGTATTAATCTGAAGCAGAAATAAAGCAGATTTCACATGTAGTTGCATTAATGTATATTCAATGAGCTTGTTTCACCTGTTACCATGTACTGGCTGAGCCTGATCAAAACAAAGCCTTAAGAATGCTCATAATGTGATTTTATTTCTGGAAGTACTTTTGGATTGAGTAACCTCATCCTGAGGTTCACTAAAAATCAAAAGTCTGAAGTATTCCAGAGAAAATAAACATCATGCAATGAATCGTCTCAGACAATTTCTGGCAATGTGCTGCAGAGATCACCTTAAAAAAGGGGAGTGTCAAACACCTTCAGTTCACAATCAGGTGCTGCCCTCTCTTTTCAGACTGTGAGGCAAGGAGAAGAGTGATGGCAGAGTCACCAGCAGTGTGAACAGCACCTTTTAAAGCACTGAGGTCACCAGCACCTTTAAAAAGCTTAAAACTGACCACCCAGCAAATAACATTTACACACGAAAGACTCCAACAGACACTGCTGCACTGGATAGTTACAAGAAACTGTCCTGGGTGATTTTGTGATACAGATGTAATTTCTGTCAAGAAGTAGAATTAATTCTGGACATGCCACACAGAATCGGTGTGATTTTTACTGATTCTTTCTGTAGATTGCTCACGTCAAAAACTTCCAGTTGCTACTTTCAAAATATAATCTGGTCCATCTGGATTGCAAGAATGAAAAACTTGCAGACTTATTGATTATTCTACCTAGCAAAAGATGAAGTGGAAGAAATTATCTTTAATATAATTTTTTATTTATGAGAAGCTACAAAGTTCTGGTTTTCTTCACAAAATAAACTTCTGATCAATAGAAGAATTTATCTACTTGCCACACAAAGAACATTCAGGCAGTGCTTTAACTCAAAAGACCACTTTTTATAAACTTAACCACCTCTTAAATGTGTCAGACTGTGGGGAGCTGACCCCATGCAGCAGCCAAACATCCACTTCAATGCCTCCCCATCCCCAACAGGACAGAAGAGAGAACAGGAGGAACAAAAATGAGAAAACTCCTGGGTCAATAAAGATGGTTCAAAGGTGAAGGAAAGAGGGGAAAACAACAAGCAATGCAGAAGAAATCACTCATCATCTCCCACAGTCTGACTGATGCCCAGTCAGTCTCTCAAAAACAGTCACCTTGGAAGTCAACACCCCTTGTTCTCCCCACACTGTTGCTTCCTTCTCTACCTCCATTTATTGCAGAATGATGTTAATGGCAGAAAATAACCCTTTGGCCAATTTGTTTCATCTGTTCAGATGGGTCCCCTCCAACCTGTTGTGCATCCCCAGCCCACTGTTTGGGGAGATCTGAGCAGGAAAAAGAGAAAGCTTTGACACTATGCAAGCACTGTTCAGCAAGAGCTCAAACATGGCTGGGTGTATTATCAGTGCTATTAAGCCACAAATCCAAAACACAGTGCCATATGAGCTGCTGTGAAGAAACAAAACTCCATGCCAGGCAGACCAAATACACAGGTATATTGCACATCTACTAGACACAGTGCCCAGTCAAAAATCTGTGCTCAGAAATCTTAAAAATATGCATAGTGAGCTGTTTGTCTTTGTTCTAGCCAGAAACATACACCCAAATTTTCTTGAAGGTAATGGTCATGTCAGCCCATCTCAAATCCATATCCTACTCAAGCTCGGAGTGCATGACTTTGAGAAGCCTGTGAAGGAAGTAGTTTCAAAGTATTTGCCCAGATTAGGCAAACCAGCATGCCATAAAATATGCATATACACAAAAACCCAGAGAAAGAAAACCCATGAAAATCAGGAAAATAACAAGTCCTAGATAATACTAAAAGCACCAATCATCAAAAAAATTCAGGAGGAACATAATTAATGCTAATGCAACTCCTTCGAGGTGATAAGAGTAGGTGTGTTTTGCATTAAAATGGGTATTTGTGGGTGAAGAGAGTGTCCCCATACAACCCACACTGAACCAGTGTTCTGTTTACTGTCTGGGAAGCTTTGAGGTCCAAGTCCATGCAGTCTACACAAAATTTTTGACTCAAATCAGGCTAAATAACTCACAGCACGTTCACCACGAGAAGGATATTTAATTTGGAAAAACCTTGGATTTAAGGGACCAGTAAGTAGTTTAAGTACTTTACATGGTGGCATGTGGTTTCAGTTGTGCCTCAAACCAGGGATATGTACCTAGCAGCTATTCACAAGTGCTACAAGACACCAGTTATTAGTGGAGATGGAATTAAATGGTTCAGACTGCTAAAATCTAAAGTCTCTGATCAAATGCAAAAACAATTTTAAGACTTAAAATCTGTTCAAATTTGGACATATCTTCAAATGACTAGCAAAAGACACACTGCTCTACAATTTTATAGCCATGTTACAGAAGAGAGTGTTACAGGTCCTTGATCAGACAGCCTTTAAAACACCATGGGTAAAACAATTATTTCCTGCCTTACTCTCTGAAATGGCCAAACCATTTTGAATGAAGCTTTAGAAAACATTTATTCTTAGGCATGAAATTTGAGGTCATATACTTAGCAGTTAAGCAACTGCAAATGCAACCAGTGCAGGCAAATGTATCTATACATTAATGTTTTCTGCTCATCCTAAAATTATAGGATGGAACTCCATAAAAGCTTTTAAAAACTTTAACATATAAAAGAATGATGTTAAAAAACATTTGTTTTGCACTGCATGTAAAGATGTGAAAAAGAAAATAATATATCTTCTCTCATACATTATAATCTTTGTTAATTAAAATGTATTACCTTATAGTAGTCTTACAGCATTCATTACCTTTCTTACAAATCAGCAATGCTCCAATCAGACCAGAGTTAAAATCCATTGCCATGTTCTCATGAGAATAGTAAGCATAAGTAAGACAAGGAAGGTCAGCTTCTCCTGGACCAACTTCTTCTGATATATCCCATACATATGTGTAGAGCTGGCCTGGAAGTACAGCATCATCTCGTTTTTCTGCAGATGATGTTCTGTCATCATACAGGGAGCCTACCAAGAAAAGAGTCAGTATGGTGGCATGAAGGAAAAGAGCATTTAAAATGCTTGGAATATCTTCCTACAATCAGCTCCAAAAGCTTGGTTTGATATTGTTTATATGATACTTCAGCTTCAAAGAGATAACTCATGATTCCACTCACACATTGTTAAGAGTAGCGTGGGGAGAGTAGCTATTCCACCACCATCCTGTTTCTTAGGGATTAAAGATTTCCTAGAAGTATCATCACTGCCAAAAGATTGGACTCTTAATCAGTCTGACTAGGCTTAGGACAGGATGAAGCTTCAGCCTCTGCTCACTGGTGCTCTGCAGAGGAATGCTGCCCACTCTGTCACCTTTCTAACTGTCTCTCATAAAGCCACTGTCTGGGCTGGCAATGCCTTGCTGCCTTAGGCCTTCTGCATACTGCACATCCACATATGGAGGCAGGAATGGCTCGTGTCTGTGCCTGCCATATCCTGATCTGCAATATGACAAAGGGGAGACAGAGAATTGAAATCCAAAGTGCAAAAGGTGCATAAATTAATAAGACAGTCAAACTGAACTGCCCATCACTTTCCAATGAAATGTTCTGTTCAACTCCATTGGATGGATTGGCAAAACTCATTTTGCACCCAGACAACAACCAAAGTCTTGCATGAATTTGTAAACTGTGGGTCAGAGCTCTGACTTAGCACCCAGGGCAGGGCAATCCAAGAAGCATGAACAATCAAACTCACTTCATGCTGGTACAAATATTTTATTGTCCATTTGGTCATAGTTTATCATCTATTTTTGCTGGTCTCATGAGGGTGTGGAGCAAAGCACCACAAAGCTGAGCATTACATTCTGAGTATCAGAACAGCATGATCAGCACTGTTAGGAAACTGTGCTCATAACACTCATATTCCTAGAGTTAAATTGACGAACAAGGAAGGAGCTAACAATGAAGGTGAAGATGCAATCCAGAATCAACAGATATTTGTTACACACAGCTTCACACATTGATCTGGAGCCCTGTCAACATTTCATGCAGTAGTCTATAAGCAAATGAGCAAAACATGGAATTTCTACACTATTTACCTTCTTCATTTTTGCTGTACACTAGACCTTGGGGATGAATACTGACTGGCTTGTCAGCCATATTTTTAAGGTGAACCACTAAAGTATCTCCCACTTCAGCATGCAGGGTTGGTCCCAGAAGTCCTGTAGTTAGTCAAGATAAAGAAAGAGGAAAATTATGTTCGGTGAAACAAATAATTTTCTCCCCCTTTAGAAAATATTAGCTCTCAAAGTACAAGTCCCAAAATTAACGCAGAGAATGTTAATAACACTGCAATGAAGATTTACCCAAAATAAGGCATATGAGAACTTAAAGCCTATAATGTATATTCCATAATGTTATAAATTTTGCATCTGACAACTAGTACTTAAAAATCATGGGAAAATAAGGGGAAAAAATTATTTACAGATACAGAAACTCTATTAAAAGATTCATCCTGAGGTTCACTGAAAATTTCTATACATCTTTCACATACAATTTAATTAAATAGTTTTAGAACACAAACATTTTGTAGTTTAAGAGTTTAGAGAAAGGCATCCAAACACATTACTTTAAGGAGGACTCTGAATGCCAGGAGTCACAAAACAAAGAGATCTTTCAATTCCCAAATGTTATCCAAGTAAATAATGGTTTCCACACTGCAAATTTCTTGAGGCATTTCCTGCAAAAGATTTCAAGAGCTTGTATCCCTACTCCCCCTGTTGCAAAAATAAGCAATTGAAAAAGCTGCTAAGACAACTTTTGGCTTGTTAGTCACTTTTTTTGTAAACTATTTTGTGTATATTTAGTTTCAGGCCTTAGGCTCCTTCACAAGGAATTCATAGTGTCATCGCTGTGGCTGTGCCAAATCTAAATGCATGTGGTAAATCTCATCAGATGCTCAAAACGAAGGGAACAACTTTGTATGGCGCAACTGATTTGCAGACAGCCACATCCTCTGAAAGCCCAACGGCCTTTGGAAGCCTCATTCCTGCACTGTAGAGACCTCATGCCCTGTTCATGTGGTTCATGTGCAAAAATGAGCGGAAAAATACAACCTTGCTCAAGTTGCCACTGGCTTTGAAATAAGAAACAAATGAAAATACCCAGAACATTTCATTCCTGTTTACCTGTAAATGTATTTGCTGGTTTTTCTTTTTTAAAATCCACTTCATATTCTCTGTAAGAAATTTTCTTAAATACAGGACCTGAATGTTCCAATCTGAAACCAAGAGTTACAAAAAATATTGAAAGGACAAAGATTCTCAGAGATGCCATTGCTGTTTGATGGAAATCTCAAAAAATGAATCTTGGAAAGATATTTAATCACTTGCACATTTTGTTGAAGGTAAAGCACACAGTCCAACTCTTTGTAGTATCTTCTCTTCTCCCTCTTACTCTGTTGAATTAATGATGTTCCCAAACCAGATAATGTCATATAGGGCATCCAATACCCATACCTAGAACAGTTCACCACTGATTTCACTGGTGGTTTTTATGGGTCCTTTTGATTCTACTTAGGCAAAAATGCCTTTGTTTTGTCCAAGACACAGGAAGATGTTTCAACAATATTTAACCTAGAAAGTATCTGACAAGACAGAGTGAAAGAAACCTGAATTTCTGTTTGCTCAGCCCTATGTTTGAACTTTAAGACTCACCAGAAGGGTTTTACAATAGCATTAACAGCAAGCTCCTGTCACAGGAATGACTCTGAAGGCAAGTACAAAGCTGTTCTCTGACAACAGCTAAGGATGTCACAGCAAGTTAGGAAAGGAGACTGCAAAGTGCCCTTAGTCTTTTTAAATAAACAATTTGGCACACCCAGGTGACCACATGTTTTCTTAGAAAACAAGCAGAAGGAAACCAGCAAACGACACTTCTGCAATGGAAATAATGACGAGAAGAGGGATGAAAGGATAACTGCCCTTCACATTTATTGGTTGATTTACTCTAGTAGGTATGACGACTGAATCCAACAGTAATTCCACTTGTTCTCTTTGTAATGCCGTTTCAGGCACATTGGACAGTGAAGAGCTGATGGACTGCTCAAGCATGGGGAGGCTGAGCAGAGAGAACCCACTTCAGTGACATCCACAGTCCATAAGGGGGAGATCTCTTTTGCAAGAGACCTCTTGTAAATTCCTCCACAACCCTCTCTCACCACAGTAGTCAGGCAGAAGCAATTGGTGTTTCAAATAATTCCCTCCTCCTTAAAGTCATTGATAAAATTTTGTTTAATTCCTTAAGGAGAAGGATAGGATCCATAACCTTCATTGACAAGAGCTGCCCTAATCTGGCAATGTTCAAGAGAATAGGCACATGAGACTGCAGGGTAGAAGAGGAAATTTATCAGTGCCAATTAAATAGTGAGGAGGAATTAAATACCTAGTGCACTAACACTTCAGAAATATTACACTACACAAGCAAGTCTAGTTACAGAACTTTTAGGAATTGCAGCAGCAACATTGCAAGATGCACATAAAATACATTTTCAATTTGTGCTGAAGTGCCTTATAAATAAATAGCACTTGTACATAGTAACAAATCTCTGCAAAGATAAAAACAGACACTCAGAGAAATAAGGCGCCCTTTTCTACCCAAAATTAAGAAAATAGTTCAGGAAGAGTCCATTTTCCTTTCAGCCTCTCTTAAATTATTTAGAAATAGAAGCACCAAAGTATCAGATTCTTACACTGCATATAGGCATTCAGCTTCTACTGAAATCAGCACAAGTTACATACTCCAATACCTTTGGGATCAAAGTCATTAACTCTTCCTCAGTGAGTATATTTGTGTTGTGAGGTTTGTTTTTCTATTTTGGATGTGTTTTTTAGTTGGTTATTTTGTTGGGTTTTGTTTGCTTGTTTGTTTTGGGTTTTAGTTAAATTTCTATAAGCTTTATAAAACTCATTAGACCCATCTAGGATGTGACTTGCTCTAAATACTTAGGCAAGGTAACTCAATAGACATTGCACATAAAATACGACTGGGTTATCTCGGAGAACTTCAGTAGAGGTTTTAGACAATCTTGTGAGTCTCTACTGCATGAAAAGACTCCCTCCACAATGTGAATTTAATCAAACAGCAGTTGATGCTTACACTGATGCACCCAGTAGAAGAGAATGAAGTTTTAACTAGTAGATTCACATGTTCAGGTCAATACTTAAATAGCATCTGGCTTCATGTTCCTACCTTTAAATCCTATTTTCTTCTGTCTTGGCAGTTTGACATTATGCTTATACCAGTTTCATTAAACATTTGAGGGGGTTTTAGAAATCACAGAAATTTTGTTATTAGATCTTGGAAAAAGAAAAAAGTTCGAAAGTCATAATCTGAACTGGAAGTATCTTTTCCATGTTATCCTGAAACACAATACATGTTTAGAAAAAAAAATCACAACAACAAAAAAAAAAGCAAGTCATCCACCTATATATATGTAAAAAAGCATCACTATAAAAAAAAACTTTTAATGTAGGAGGAAAAGTAATTTTTAATTAATTTTAATGTTTAATTTTTACTGATTTTCTCCCTTAATTTAAACATAACTCAAAAATACATCCAAGTTCTGAAATCTGTAGCAATGCACCTGCAGCGTTTATAATCCTAAGGACAGTAGTAGTACCAAAAATAATGTATTTTATATTCCTGATTGGTAGATGCAGGTAGGCTGGCCACTGTGCAATACTATATGAAAAAATAAAATCAGCAGTTTCACTTAAGGAAGCAGAGTAATGCTTGATCTTACCACCTTTACTCATCAGGACTCAGAATGTACATTTCACAAAAGTCCTGAACAACTCAGAAATGGTGCAGCTAGTTCCAAAGTTCATCTGGCTCTGATTTAAGTGAAAGTGATAGCATTAAAACTGGAACATAATTATTCCTTCAGCAAATTCTAAAGTCTTAAAGTTTTTGAAATCTTACCAAACCATGGCTCAACTTAACATTGCTCAGCATCCATGTACCTAAAATAAATACATTAAAAAAACCCCAAGCAACCAACATTAAGCTATGCAAAAATGACAAAAGCAAGTCCTGGAACTTATTTAACAGAAGTCCTCTGAAAACATAAAATAATTCTATTCACTAATGCAGCAAATAAAAAGGAGCTTTTAATATGTCACAGGCTCTAGCTCAGATAATGCTGTTTAAGGTCAACCAAGTTCCTCTGAAATCAACAGACTGGGCTCCAAAGTCCTCCTGGGCTCTGCAATTCCACAAGAGATGAGAGACAAAAACCACTTTTCAGTCCCAAGGGAGGGACTTTTATCCCTCTCATCCCGTACTTTGTTACCTGGACTTTTCCTCAGGTTCTGGTTTGTAGGTCCAGCTGGTGATCTGTGCAGCTATATAGTGCTCCCTGATCTTCACAGCTCCCACCACATGCTGCTCTGAGTCTGGCCACCATGAACCAAGCAGAAGCAAGAGAAAAAGCTGTAAGCAGTGCAGTGTCATGGTAGAGACGCCTGTTAAAGCTGCTCTGGAAGACAAGGCAGAAACCACTGCTTTTATTGCTGTTGTTGCTTCTAACTTCCCCTCAGAAATGCAATAATTATGATGCAACAGGGTAACATTTGCTATGCTCAGGTCACTGCTCTTCACCTCCGCCTCCCCTTACTGACAGGGATCCAATAGAGATAAAAAAATGTTTAAACTACCTCCTTCCCCTCCTCCACACACCTCCAGCAAGAGACAAGCACCAAGGAGAAGCGCTTCAGCCCCACTAGGTGGTTGGTTCATTGTGTACTGAAGCAGCAGGATATCAGAGGCAGAAGATTATTTAGATTACTTCAATTACAGGATGTTTGACCTATGTGGTTAGGAAGAAGGGGGACATATTTTCTGTCTTCCCAGAAAACAGAAACCCAGCACATGGCTGGCACTGATGGAAATTTCCCAGGTATATGCTACACCTCCTAAGAAATCATTCCCAGAAAACAAAATACTGAAGGATTAGGTACAGGGACTAGAATTGGGTGCAGAGCTATAATCTAGTTCAGATCACCATACACTGCATGCTCAGAACTTGACTCCCATTACATTCCCAAATACCTCAGGTAATAGGTAACCAATGGGCTTCTCAGTGACAGCTACCAAGTCAGACTGGCGACTTTTAATCTAGTCTTGACTACAGTCTGTTGGCATTTATCTAACAAGAAATTATTAGGAAAATACCTTTTGATAAGATAATTACCAATGCCAACTGTATTAATAAATATGTTTCCCTGCTTTTGCCAGTACTGAGAGGTTAGTCAAAACAAGAAGTAAATTGTTGATCATGATTCCCACACACCCAATTACTAGAAAAAAAAATCCTATCTATTTTTTTGTGGCCAGAAAATGAAAACCTTTTCAATAATGTTTTTCTAATATTTTAATTAAAAAAAATTACCTGTACCACAAATCAAAATAACTCCACTCCAGAACTAGACAAAAAGGACAACATTTCATTTTGGACTACTTCAAAAGAAAGCCTGATCAATTCTAGGTTTGCTATATTTTAACAGTAGAATGGCCTAACTGGCAGCTTGGTTAATTCTATCCAAACTATATGGTACCATAAGGACTTGAAAGAAATAGGGAAGACAGCTCAAAAAATAAAAAAGAAAAGATGAAGACCAGCAGCTAAATGCTCACTACCAAATATCAGGATCATTTGGCACATAAACCTGAGAACAATTGTGCTCACTTAGACAGCACATGACTACCAACATCATGGTATGTTTATTTAAACAAATATTCCTGTGATTCTGTTTAATGAACTAAGTGTTTGCATTAGAAATTTACATCATAAGTAGGCTTCTAAGAATTTTTCTTTTTAATAAAAAGCTAAAATATTGCAGGCTAAAAATTAATGCCCAGATTACATGATTAACAGCCCCTGCTTTGTGCCCTTGAGCTGGGCATCATCGAAGCTGACATCAATTGGTTATTTCCCTTTTATCCATTTTGAGGAATTTGGGAGCTGTATTTTTGAAATTTCTTAGTCAACAAATTATGCAGCATTATTCTAAAGGCAAGAATTTCTTTCATAAGTGTGGCTGATCATATTGATAGTTTAAAGATCAGTATCAAATTGAACTACATATACTTTCCATTAAGCTACACTGATTACCATTTGTTTCCATTCTTTAATACTTTAAGAAAAAGAAATCCAATACTAGCTGCTTGCTTATTTTCTCCTCTTCTCACATTTTAAGTTTCAATGTAAAATTGACCTGCCTGAAATCACCTACATCAGCCTTTTTAAAATTTTTTTCTTTTATTGAAGCTATTCCATTGCATTGTGTCCTCTAGGCTTTATTAAGTTTCAATGTTCTGAAAATCAGTATTAATAATCCAAAGATGCTGTTCCCTTCCACCTGATCATTGATTTCTAATATCAGCAATTATATCCTAGCTGATGTTGTGAAAGTCTAATACATACATATAATTTTTAGTTAGCATTGATTGCCTGCAAGCTATTATTACTACTAGTCCATGACAAGTGACTACAGAATATATTCTTTCAGGATGGAATCTTCCAAGACAATGTAACTTTATTGGCTATTAATATATTTAGCTGTGATCTTTTTTTCTACTTCACAACACTACACATGCTGCAAACTTCATATTTTATCCTCACTGCTTACTGACATGTTCAAGTGTAAATTACAAGTCAACAGCATCAAAAAAATCATGTGATCAAAAGCCATGCATGCAGGAATGTGGGTCCAGTGCAGGCTGGCAAGAGAATCTCTGCAGCACAATAAACAAGGCTATTCCCAAAATAAAGCAGTACCTTTGGGATGTACTGATACTGAAATGCCAAATGAAAATCAACCATGGAAAGAGAAGCCTAAGAAATATCTTTTAACACCAACAGCAGGTCTGCATCTTCCAACTGGGCAAGATTATGGTCTATTCTGACACCCAGTAATTATGGTCCTGATTTCTTCTTATGCTACATGTGAAAACAGTATATACTAAGGGTATACTTGCAGTCCTGCTCTAAAAGCTGACCTGTAAAATTAACTGGCAGTGCCAGTTTTCCACCTAGACTGGGTGAAATAGCCTAAGCTGATTCTGAGCGATCACGAACAGATCTTTTTTTTAAAAAGAGATGTAAAGTGGTGATATGCAACTTGCTGCGAATAACAAGTTAGATCCGCAACAAACTTGGTTCTACTTCATCGAAAAATACCCCAAGTGCCAGCAGGCAGTCATATACTTACACCTGCCATCAGCTTTCACAACTGGTGACAGAGAGGGAACTAGTAGAGAAAAAAAAGTTGCACAATTGTGGACTTGGTTGCTAATAATGCCCTCAGAGAGATCTCCCTCATTCAAACACACTAATCAATGCACAACGGCCCAGCAGCGTACCTTGTTTAGTGCAGGGTGAACAGGCTTCATGGGCAAACAAGGAGTTAATTATTGAATCGGCAGTGAACACGTGGTTCTGAAGTAGGTAAAAGACAGAGGGGGCACTTACCAAATCCACCAGGCACTAACGGGAACAGCCCAATATCTTCACTTCTGTAAGTGGGTGCTAAAGCCAAGAAAGGTTAACCTGTGAAACAGCTCAGTTTAGAAGCTGAAAGCAGATGTGCTATGCCAAAGAAACATATGAGCAAGCAAAAAGAAAAGATGGAGGAGAAAAGCTTTCTTTCAGAGAACAAGAAACACAAAAAAAGATGTATGTGATTTGATGATAGCCCACACAAGAACACATTGTGCGCACTGTTAAGGAAAGGCAGGCTGTGTGACTTCTGTGGTCATAAACAAACTAAAAGGCAGTAAGAATGTAGAAGGGCATTTCAGTTTGCCTTGGCAGTTCAGAAGTGCTTCAGAAGACAAATAATCATGTTGATTTAAACATAAATACATTAATGTTTTAAACTTGTATTTCTCCTTAGCAGAAAAGCAAGTGTCCCCTGTTAGAAATGGGTGTTTCTCCAGCTGATGTTTGCAAAACCAATTATTTAGCAGGACCAAAAACTATTTGTACAGAGATGCTGAAATCAGTAAAGTAACAGGGAAAAAAATAAACATGTTTATTTTCTAAATGCTGTAAAACCTAATTTAAGGGCTTTAAAGGATTTGTCTAAAACCACTGGCTTGTGGTCTGAAAAAAAATCATTTTAAGGAAAAACCAAGGATATACAAGTTTCCTCTCTTCAAAAACTGTGTTAATGATATCTCACTTATGTTTTGGATTGACTCAAGAGAACCCAATTTTTTTCTTCCTGTGTATTTTATTTTTGCCAGAAAAATTTCAGTTTGACTGAACAGAGAATATTGCTCCTCATTATTGTTTGTGTTCTCTGTGTTCCAGTTTGTCTTCTTTACTAAGAGATTTCTGTATTTGCCCAAGCTTACAACTGATATGCACCATGGGAACAGCTGGTCTCATGCTAAGTCAGTCTAGCAGCATATTCATCGTGGATTTCTTTCTGTAGAGAACAGTAAGGGTACCAGTGCAAGAGTTTGCAACTAGGAAGATGAGTATTTTTTTCATCATAAATCCTTACTGCAACTGAAGCTGGACTATCAAAAAAGAGAGAGCCTCTTATCAAGTTGTACACACCTACTTCCTACAATAAGGATGATACTCTGAATGAATTAAATTTTTCATTCTTTATACAATTGAATTTTCTACATCCAGGTATCTTTTTCTTTTTTGTCCAAATAATAGACTTAAAACAGATCTTGCAAGTTTCTGGCATAAAAGGCTATTTTTCACTAGAAAAGCAGATAAGCACATTTTAGAAAGAAACATGAAATTAGTAAGCTTTTAGCATAAGACCTTAAATTATAAGTGTCCCTACAGATGTCACAACATAGACAAACTCAAAGCATTCTAGTTCTCTAGCAATGGCTCAGGCTGTTGTTAGCAAGCTGATTAAACAAACTCTACTTTCCCATGCCTAAAAATGCTGCTGCAGAACGACAAAGTTGACATTGCCCTGTTTGTTTAACATCCTTTGTTACTTGTAGCTTAGGCTTTGACTAGACTCTTAAAACACTAAATACAGAACTGCACTTACCATAGTTACTGCTTTGGTTTTTATCTTCCACATTTATTTTTTATTGGAAGTATTTATTGGTATTTTAAAATTATTTACTATTATACTATTTTTACATTTCATGTAAATTGAAGACTAGATATCTGAAGTTTGACAATACGCTGTGATGGACATTATTTTACATCTCTGTGAGGTTATTCTCTTTGCATCATAACTCATTCACTGTGCATAATCAGTAGAATCAAAATTTCACCCACACCTTCATTGCATGCAGTACCTGTAAACGAGAACATACCCGAAGTCCAAGATCAAGAAACAAAAGGCAAGCAAAGAACCATAAGAACTGTAAGGTCTGTAGTAGGAATGTGAGCAGAGCAGAAATTCTCAAAAGCTCTTTTGATGCCAACACAAAATTAATTTGAATTCATTGTGAATTTGACAGAAGCTTTAACTGAAGTTACTAAGTTTGCATGTTTATAGTACTTCCTACAGCAGCAATCTTTGACTCTATCAGGAGTTTTTAACATTAATCACAAAGGAAGAGGAGGATTAAGGTACAGTACAACTGCTGCAAGTATACCCAGATCAAATTTGTTTGTAGGTACAACCACTTTGATAAGCAGCCAAGCAGAATACCATGTCTTAGTCACGAAGGATTGGCTTTTGCAACATCAGACAGTGCTGGGCTAAAAATGCCACAAGGCATTTAATGACATGGTGATGATGGAAGCGATTGGCAAGTTCTCTTCAGTTCTGCTGCGCCTCTTTTTCTTATAGGGTCAGAGAAAAAGGCCTTCTTTGGTTTATACATTAAAAATAAAAAAAACTCATGCCACTTGCTTTCGTCAAAAGCCTGACAAAAAAGGATGTGGTAGTTTATAACTTAACTTACTGCAGACTTATGAAACTAATTCACCGTCTTATAGGAGAAGAACAGATACCTTTCAGGGAAAAAGATGTTTCAAAAGATTCTGATGCATCAAAGGAAAAACATATACATCACTACTAGTTATTTTAAGTCATACTCCCTTCTCTTTGCTCCCCTATTTCTTGGGTGGAGGACAGCTGCTTCCTTTTTTTACCAGAAAGCCCAAAACATCTTTGAGATTAGTCTCCTAGGCAAATTCCTATGGCATGACTCAGTGGGTGTGGTTAAGTTTTCAACAGGTTTCAGCCAGCATTACTCTTACATAGACATTGCTTAAGATATGTCCAAAAAAGAGGAAGTGAAGACATATCAAGAGGAAAGTCAATTTTAGCATAGAACACACAACCTGATTATGTGTTCCCATGTAAGTAAGAGCATGGTATACAGGACAGCCAAAACAGGGACCAGCTGTGCCAGGACTGGGACCAATCTTCCTACCCAACAGTAAACTCAGTCTGCTGCAGACACCCAACTTCTGGTTACCTTGCAGAATGCAAGATGGATGCCTGGGAGACAAAAGTGCTTTCCTGAAACGCAGTTTAAGTGAATCTAATGACTATAAATATATACACAAAGAGATATACAGAGACATGATGGTCCTTTCCTCCAATTTTCATTAGTCTAAACCTTACATTTTACAGAGCAGAAGTGGCTGCTAAAGCCTGGATGCCTCTGCAATATCTGAATCCACAAACAACTCCATGTATGTTCATCCCAAGGAGGAAACATTATTATTAGACTGGCAATTAGAGTAGCTGAGGCAGACAAATAATCAAGATCCAACCTTGCTCTGTCATAGCAATCTTTTCCCTTTACCCTCAAGCTGTATTTTTGTCAGTAAGACTGCTCTTTAATTACAAGAGAAATAGACTACATAACCAATATTCCTCCTCTGTCTCCTCAAATTTTCCAGCTCTAGTCTTGCTCAAGTGTAAATCACCTTTCAAAGACTTGTTAGTTACAGTTACTTTTCTAAGCTGTAGTCAGACTTCCTTAACAAGACAATTACTTATTTTTTTCATCTTTTAAAATATTACTCTAGCTAGAGGAAATATAACCATTCATAGGTGTGAAAAAACCCTTCACAAAGCTCTCAAGTGAATTTAAATAGGAAGGGAAAAATAAAAAATACATATTTTTAGAAATCAGCAACAAAGCCAAAACAATTAGGCTTCTACTACAAAAGTAGATTTCAGTTTCTAACATACAAGAAAATAACCTCATGAAAGGAAATTAAGGCATTATGGAGGAAAAAAAATCCCACCTCTTAGTGCGGTATCTGTACTGGAATGAAAGTGATTTATTTATATTACACACAGAGATTTTTATTAAAGAGGCTGGTAATGGAACATTTTATTTGAATGCATCAAAGCTGATAAAAGATTAGTTACAGAAATTGTGTATAATGTTGTGTAAGTCACATGGATGGGTTATTTAAAAAAAGATTTGATAATTAGAGGAACGCATCTCTTATTTTAGTTACATTGTAAAGTGCCTCGTGTAGTCGTATTCTATCGTTGGAATGACCGCCTGTACAAATTTCAAGAAAATAAGAAGGTACCTGAGTGTCTTATTAAGGAAAATGTACAATAGCTAGAAATCCAGCAAAACAAAGCAGAAGTCACATTGACGGTCTGCTCAGCAGTATTTCTAATTAATAGGAAAATAACACCTAGCTACTTTAGAGTTAAGAGCTACTCCCAGTTAAGACTGGGAGATTAATATTGAAGAATTCTGGTAATGCTTGACCAAAAATAGACCTTCCTGGTTTAAGTAAATGCAGGGAACCAAGAGTTATTTTCAATGTATCTTGCCGACACCACATAAACATTACCAACTCCATTTACATTCTTTATATTTGTTATTAACAAATGCCAAGGTGAATTGTACCCAGCAAAGCTAATCCCTTCCTGTAGTTGCAGGGAAAGCAGGTTCCTCTCCTCAGTGTTTCAGGGGCTCAGAAAAAGAAATCAGTTCTTATTCTGAGACATCCTTTGAAAGAGCTCCTGCCTACTCACAAGGGAAAGTACAGAGATGAACTTAGCCAAGCTGAACAGTCTGCATTTGCAGAGAAGACTTCCCTTGTATGTATCCCTTTCAAATGTATGTTGGGCCTGAATTTGCAGTCTGGAGAATACTGAATAATTACAATCTAAAGTCTCTGTCCATGCGGGAAAGAGGCAGACGGGGAACTGAAAATTTAAGAGAAATCACTACTTTCAAGTGACTATTAAGTTACATTGGTACCGGACGTAAGCAAACCCAACTGTTTTGATGTAACAGTCTCTTAGACCATTTCTTTACAAACAAGATGAAAATGAGTAAAGAAATGTTAAAAATGCCCCAAGTTGTTAAGTTATTTAGAAAAAAAAAAAAAAGAAAAACAAGAAAAAAAAGCTACTTTCAACTACTGAGGATTGAACAACCATGACAGACAAGTTATTTTCTAGTTCAGTTCCAGTTGCTTGTTGCACAAATTGAGCAAGTCTCAACTCACACAGTAAATGAGAATCTTACCAATTCAAGACCTTTAGCTGCTCAGTAATTCCTGCTTATTTGCCCTACAGCAGCAAAGAAAACTATTTTGAAAGGACACAATTGCCTTTATCATAGAGATTGCTCCAGTCAGAAAGCATACTATTGATTACTACAAAGCTTAACATCACTCAGCTTTCTGAAAGAAAATTTTAATTGTGAGGCATTTGATATTGATGTGCAGAGTGGTTTAAGTGATTTTCATTGCTTTTTCTCAGCAATGTTATTTTCCCAAGATATTACTCATATGCAGAATACAGAATAGTGGGAACTCTAAATCTTTCAGAAATTAATTTCAGATTAAAATCTAATACAAAAGATGCTCTGCTAAGCAGTGATTACACTCTGGATGGAGTCTGTGAACCTCCAGTCTCACCCTCCTACATTGGCATCCCCATTTCATGCTCACAGCTACCTCCTTAACACCCTTACAAACAAGGGCTCAATCCTGTCCCTTCAAACCTACATGCCTTCCCCCTTGCTCCTGCTGTACACCACCTCACGTTTCCCCAAAAACTTCCCAGAACTCCAGCAAGTTATAACTCAAAAATAACCCAAGCAGTTATTCACTGCTTTCACACATTATTGTATTTCAGCTTATGAACTTTAAGGTAACAGACCTTACACTGCAAGAAGCGTCCAAGAAGCTGCACAATAATGAAAAAGGATACATGTGAACTCCAAGTTCTCCTCCACCTTCTGCAACAGTCTCAATTATTTTCTTCATGACTTCTGCATGCCTGAAAAACACATCAGAAACAAAACATTTTAAGGAAGAGGCAACTCACTCTTCATCAGGACAAATAGATCATCAGGACAAATAGGTTTTGTGCAAATTAAATAATTTTGTACCATTAGGTTCAGAAGCAGCAGGATGAAATTTTCAGTTTACTGAGAAACTGTAATTGAAAATTAACCTTAAGTGATGAATGTAACATTATTTATCAGCTCCTTTACATTCCCACAGAAAGTAAAAAATGTAGTATGCTACAATGTAGACTCAATGTAATGTGTCAAATGTATGCTCAATGTAGAGTGCCATGAGAATGAATGCATACTGCTTGACACTAGTATAACTTTTAATTGCTAAATGCCAATAAAGCCCCCAGGTAAGTCTCTAGAAGGTAATATTGACCAGCAGTCAGCCACCAGAAGTTCCCAGATGTCACCTGAAGATGATGTCTAGAAATTGCTGTATCATTTTTAGCTGCCTCTGCTGAACTCAGACTTGTAAAGCTTGAAGAGGTTTAAAACACTAAAACAATTAATAATTTCCTAGGAAAGGCAGATTAAATCAACCCTGCATAAATTCAGAACTATTGCTTTAGGACAGGTTTAGGGTATGGAAACTTTCTCTGGTGGTAACTTGCATTCTATAACAAATCAACAGTTTCTAAGCTACTTTCTTCTTTCTTGTAACTCTGTTATTGCGCAAAGCACTACAGGAAAGGAAGAACACTTCTCAGCTCACTGAGTTTTTACATTCTCATCAGTGACATCCCAGACCTACTGTGAATGAACCACATGATATTTATGCACAAAGCTAGTCCTGGGAATGCCACACAAAATTACAAAATAGCCAGGGCTGGAAGAGACTGGTCATTATCTAGTCTAAAACCCTCTTGTTCAATGAGCAGTCAACTAGAACAGATCACTCAGTCTTGAGTGCTATAATTTGTCTGCTATAGATTGGAATATTCTTAATGATAAAGACTTCAAATCTTTTAATCACCAGTTACAATTTGGAAGTAATGTTCTTGTGTTCAAGGCAGTTCTTCTATCCCATAAACTAAGTGGTGAAGAACATATCAAATGAAGAGGGGAGAACTACTGTATATTAAATTATGTTTTATTTATGTACCTTCAGCACAAACTCCCAGGTTGTACAATTATTTTTACTTTTATCTATACTTCAACCTTGTTTTAAATAGAAGATTCTGCAGGTAATCTTCACCAGTGACATAATACAGGGCTATGGGGATCCATCTACACAGCACTGCAGGTTAGTGAGCAGCAGCACTTTAAAATATCCATTCTAAAATGACCAAAGTGCCAACTGAGAAGAAGGATGAGTGGGAAGCAGAGTTTGCATAACTTTCTGACCATGCCTTGATACCAATATGTCAATCTAAATAGCTGACCAGCAACTGGCATTTAGTAATTACCTCCAAAGTAAATCATGCTGCCAGTGACTTCAAACTGGGAAGGAAGTTGTTGCAAAGTTACCAAGACACACTGTAAACAGGAACATGCAAGTCTGGGGAAATATTAAAGGTCAGCATTTGTCATTTACTGTGGGTCTTTGCAAGTCAATTAACCCTCAGAGCTGATTCCAATTCTGGATCCTCACGATGCCCTGCGGAACACATGCCATTTCAGGTGCCAAGGCCAGCTGCTTCTCTGTAGGAAGCTAATCTCTGTCAAAACTTAAGTTTTGACCTTATGCGTAACTGTGGACTATTTTTTTACTGGCACAGAATACAGGTCACCATGCAGCCATGAGAAATCTTTAACAGTATACTGGCTCAACTTCATACATCTTAATGACATTTGCTCTTTTCTGTTTTCTAAGAACTACTCAGGTACCTCAAATTCTATAATGGCCACAGAGTAATGGTCATTCTCGCTGTCATACAGTTACTCATGGAAAGATTTGTAGGTGCTTTATAAACTTTGTAAAGTTTGTTTCCTGTTTTCAGCCTCCTTCTGTAAGAAAACTTGGAGGAATGAACATAAAATATATAAATACACTACAAAGGTAAGAAATAAATTTGAAGAAATCTAAGCTACAATATCTTACTATCTAGGTACTTTAGAAGCAAAAAGTGTTCAGATGCCTATCACTATTCTGAAATGGAGAAAAAAAAAGTCATTGGAATCGGTGCAAGTAATTATGATTTAACTGTAAATGTGTTTAGTAGTTAGTATGTTTGATAATCACTTCAGAGCACACAGAAGAAGCTGAGAATCATGACTAAAACAGTTTACAGCAATGAATGAGGAAGTTGACTGTGTTCCTCCCAGTACCATAAAAATGCTGACAAGAACTACAACTTACAGAAGAGCTGTAAGATGAACAATTTTCACTAACTACTCAAAATAGAAGCAATCTCAAGCAGCTGACAGCGGCATCTGACTGCTGTTTCTTTACTTTCTCTGATGCCTGACATGAGGATACTCACGTTGCAATAAAAATGTTTGGAATCATACAAATATCTTACATTACACAATTTCTGTAACATGATGGGAAGCAACAGCAACAGATACAACTTACACACTCGTAGTTCCTAGCTGAATTAAAAACAAAGGAACAGTTTGGCTATTGGTTTTTATCCAGAAGCCCAGACCTTAGCTGTTAGTCTTACCAATTTGAAAAAATAGAATCGCTCACTTGGAAAGTAAGAAAATATTCTTAAAACCTCCATTTTATGTATGCTGTTAGCCTCTTTCTTCACAGTCTTCAAACTACCTTTTAGACTCTTTCCAGTGTTAAGCAGTTGCAGATCCATGACATCACTTTTTGAGAAGGGCTACAGTTTCCTCCATTTTTAAGACTAGCAACAGACCTGTTTCACTCCACTGTCAATCATCTCTTTCATGCTTAAAGCTGAAACAAGTCTCATGATGTAAACCATCCCTTCAAGCGAAA